TCCCAGATGAAAAATCGTGAGAAGTAGTACGGAAACAAATTTTCTTGAATTACAATTTAGGTTTCCACAGTCAGGAAAATATTTTTCTGTGATCTAGGAACCTTCTTTCTATCCAGATACTGTGCTTATATTTTTGATTTCCCAGTCATACTACTTTTCAATCAAGTCAACTCTGAAAATTAATGTACAGTACCTAGAATCATGACGTGCTATTTCGCTGTTCTTCTCACCGCATAGTGTTAGGCTTATAATTTTTTTACTCGCGCTTTTTTCTAAGATCTGTCAATTCAATAGGTGACGAACCCATAACAACATTCAATTAATAATCTTAGCAAAATCGACTGAAAAATCCAATATCTTTGTGTTTCTTTAGCAATGACAACTTTCTAAAAAATTTCTCACGTTCAATTTTAAGCGTGAGAGAGACGATGATGAAAAACGAAGAGGCTTTGCGTGAACAGTTATAGCTATAGTTATAGCTTACATCGGTTATTTTTTTTCCATGATAACTGTCCATGTGATTGATAAAGACCCGAGGGGTTCTGAAGGTCTGCCTCCACTCCATGAAATCATCATCGCCCATGGCCTTGAAACCCAAGAGCTTTATCCTACAAAGATTCAGAGTACCATAAGTCTTTCGGCAAACTCCACATCATCTTCAAACCATCGTACAAATGGAATTAATGAGTTCGGTTACAATAGTCTTGTATTCACGTGGCGTCAATACTTCGTTCTGCTTCTCCCAGAATTCTGATGAGTTCTTAATGACTTTACTGCTGAGTAGTCGTAGAGGAACTCGCAAAATTGGTCTGAGGAAAGCAATACTGATTAGTACTCCATATGAACATGTTAAGTTGATGGTGACAGATAGATTTGATCAAGTCACACCGGGGAAAAAATTATCCACAAGGTAATCATACCTTGAATTTCCAAGTTGTGTTTCCAAATATAACGGAACACAATGTAGAATTAATCTAAGACTACTGTAACAACTCTTATTTCTTCTCTTTTTCCATTGAAAAGCTAAACAAAATACAATTGAAAGTGCATTTATCTAGATTTCGACACTCCTTTGTCTTTTCAATAGAACATTGAACATGGCGGAACAGTACATATTCTGCTGTGACAAAGAATCAATAACTGTGATATCATATGTTAAGTCATCAAACGAAAACGATGTACTCTATGCGACTTCATAATGGCAGCTGAAAGTAAAGATTATAATCATATTCACCAGATTATACTTTTAGAACCTGAGGGTATGCAATGTTCTTGTCACTAAAGCCAAAGCCTTTGCACGGTAGGATTGCAGTATATCTTGACTATTATTGAAATCTTATAATCCTACAACGAGTATTGCTATGAAAACATCAGAACTAAAGAATTGCGGAACTTGTTTCAAGATTCATAAAAAGAATCTCATCTTTCATCCAGTCATCGATTAAATAATATTTTGAAAATCCAAATTACTTTGGAAATATTATGGGCTTACAAGCAGTGCAATGATAGATCGTGTAATAACGTGCTAAATATCGCAGTATTTAGTGTTTTTGATACTGAATATGTTTGTACTTGGTATTTTATTGGTTGTCAAGTACCAAATATTTGAGGACTTAGTAAGAAATATCATTTTTTATATTTTCAATTTTTCTAATTATCGCAACTGTTTCGTAATTTTCCATACTTTTATGACATCATGGAAATTCTGAATCGTCCGAACAAGTGTGATTTTTCAATTTCTATAAAAGTTTTTTTTCTATTTTTCCATTCGTAATTTTTTTATTTAACTTTTTTTCAAATCTCTTCAAGTAATTTCAAAAGTTTCTTTTCTCTGTTTCATTAGTTCTTTAAAGTGTAAGTTCTTTCAAGTGACTTCAAATGACTTCAGAGTGACAGTGATTTCATCAAAGAATAACCCCCCATGACTTGTGTACCTGAAGTATTAACACACACTGCAATTTTGTTGTAATTAAATACAATTGAAGTCTGGATACCCAAGTATTTTAATATTCACATTATTAGATTGTTTTTCGTAATAGGCGATTACTTTAACCCAGTAAATATTTCGTGGAGTCGCATAATTTTTCAAGCTAAAAAGATTATTGTAAAGAGCAGATTATTTATCGATAAACCATGACGTACATCTTAAGGATTTCGTCGAAGAGGGCACCTATACTGGTACCATACCACATAAGCCTCCGATCTTGATATCGTCATATCATACCAAGTAAGACACGGGTATCGACCATATCAGTGGTGTTATTGATTTGCTTTATCTGACAATAGGGTGCTCATGAGGGTAGCGCTGCCAACAGTGAGCCTCAGCTTTTATCCTTACAAATATTATAGTTTACTTGACAAGGCTAAGCTCCGAAAACAGTAGTGCTCTATGTAACCTGTGGGGGTGACTGCCTCCATCATGCTACCCATTACGTCAATCCGCTTTAACTTTTAATAATATTTATTTAATTTCAATTATTTATCAACAATCCCCACAACAATTTTCGCCATTACCAATCATTTAATACTTTTCGGAATATTGCCAATTCGTTGACTAGTTGTCAATCTACTGCTATGTGGGATGTAAGTCTATTTAAAACAGTTTGAGGATCGTCTAACAAATATTATTTTTATTTTTCTGTGTTTATGTTTATTTTTATTTATAATTTCTAGGATAAAATTTCGATTTAATGAACGAAATCTTAATGAATGAACCAAGTCAGACAAATTATTGAGAATTAAAGAATTTAGTGAAGATTGAGGTTACGCATGGATATAATTGAATGGAGATAGGTAATATTAGTTGTGGATGTATACGACTCTTGTCCGTAGGCGTAGGACCCGCAAAAAGTTATTAAAAGTCGCCCAGAAATATGGTACGACACGATATGTAATCGCAAGTTCACAAATTATAAGCGGCAGGCGCCACTGATTTCTTATTTATGTTTGATTAATGTTATGATTAATTTCAAATTTCGTCCACTAGAATTCTGACAATTACCAAATCGACTAATTTTTAATAAAACGTTTCAATTAACACAATTAAATTTAAAGTACTAGATCCGATTAGCTTTGCTTGAATTGGACAATATTTTGTTTTTCAAGCGTAGTACTCCACGACCTTAATAATTATAGGATTGTTTCGTGTTCAACGACAAATTAATTAGTGTAGCAAAGACAGAATTTATATTAATAGTACCTGCGTTTAGGTTTTAAGTTTTTTCGGAGAGAGATGAGAGGTTGGAGGATGAAAAATTCGGGTACCAGACAAGTCGTCAAATTCTTTTAATTCGGCATTCCACACAAAGGACACGAACGCATAATAAACACGCTGTAACTATCCCCAAGAACGTATTTTCTCCAATATTTAGAATTTCAGCCATTTCAAGATTTATTACGCTGTTCACCACTTTCCACAGATATGTCACGTTGAAACCCGCCTAAGAGTAATTCACAAAAAATCTTTCATTTTAACGTAGTTTACAAGGTAGTCCGTAGCCAGTCGTACACAAAAAAAAGGGGTTTCGCAGGGAAAAGGGGATGAATAGCCGTAAATTCACGGGGTTTTGGAACAGGGGAATTTCCCTCTACTCCCTCTTCGTCAAATTCTTGAGGGTAGGAGATAATTTTTTGAACCAATCAAAGGGGTTCATCAACAAAGTATCCTCCTACTTTTCAAGCCTCTCAGAGGGAATTCAGAAGGAGACGTTAGTTATTAGCGAAGAGTTGCCGTGTATAGAAGTTCTTTTAGCCTTCTTGCAGTGTTTAATTTTAGTGCAAACAGAATAGATTCTTTAGTTGTCTTTTGACGATCTCGATTCTGTCCGAACGTTTTATATGAAATAAATAGTTAAACCTTCATTATTAACTACGAATCGTGTATATTGGTGTCTGCTTGAGTATGGACAGGAGTCTTCACTCCGCTCCCGCATTCCGTCTACCAATTCAAGTGTAAATCGAAGGCAAGGTGACTAAATATAAAAACTCAATTCCACATATAAATCTTCGGTAAATATCGGGTATTACTCGACCACGTCCAATTTTTTTCAAATTTTCAGGGGTTATAATTAATATAATGTTATTGAAATATCATGGAAGGTCATTCGTCATTCAAATCTTCTATTTAAACCGTGAATATCTCGAGTGATATTAAATCGTTAGCTCATGTGTAGCAACGTGGAGTTGCTACACGCATATTTGCCGATTCTGTCATTGCGCGGGAAAAAGAGCGGTGACTCATGTTGAAAAAATTGAAAGCACGCAGTGCCAGGAATTTTCCCAGCAAGCTTCTCCCGATCGCTGCTGCGCAGAGAAACAGAGGAAAATATTCGATTAATTTGAAAAGTCGAGGAGTGTTCGGTGGATTATTTTTCATATTACGATTCTGGTCCAACCGGTAAGTAATGCTCATGATCTCATGCCTCTTACTATAAATAACTAACCTATTTGAATCAAAACAATCTATCAACTTCTGGACCCAGATTTCCAATCGATTTTTGAAAAATCATTGATAAACTAGTGGGAAATATTCGCTTTGATAATTTCCCCGCTGGCAGCGAAATAATGAAAGCAGCACAAACATGAAAATATCTCGTGATCAAAAATACTAATGCACGCCGAAAATCGGGATAAAAGAAATAATCAAATAAATACCATGTTGACTATCTATATTTTATATTACATATTCTCTGAATTAACATCGAATAATGCAATTCTATTGGCTAAAATAAAGATTTATTGGATTGCTGTCGTATTTTGATGTATACAATTAAGAGAAATAGTCAATACTTTGGTATTCACTGTTCAAATCCTTATATCACATGAAAAAATATTTAGTTTTATCCGTGACTATTTCCCTGTTTACCTAAAAATTTCAAACAATAAACGGAGAATGAACGGCAGCAATGAAAATTTGTGATTCTACTCTTCCCGTTTGAATTCAAAACAAAAACGAAACCATGAAAGCTCTCTTTTGTTATATTTAGCTGGGAAAATGGCAGACGGAGGAGTAATTCATGCATAAATTTCGGTCAGTTGAAATATTTTTTGATGAGTATTTTTAGTTGTGGTATGAAGGCAGGCATTTAATAGAGTGCGAAATACTGTATGACCATGGCACAGAATGGATTGTACTGTCCTGAGGGCGGGAGGGTCAGGGACGTAAGGAGTGCCAAGATACGAAGGGCCAAAAACCAGAGTGAATCGATAATGGAACGCTTCGATGAAATGGTTAACGCGCAACTACTGAGGCACAGGTAAACATCCAAGTTTTTTGAGGGGTATAAATAACTCAGGTAGGTTATACTACCCCCGTTATTCAACGGAGACCAGGGAGCTTTCTTCTCTTCTCCCTCCCTGATTCCTCTCTCTTCCTGGACGTTCACGAGAATCATGTGTGTCAAGGTTACGGGGAAGATGGATTGGCCATGCGTAAGGAGTCTGCATTGCACTCTGGGGAATAAACTTTATCAAATTCATCGACAAATTGAATGACTTTCAAGGGGCTTCGTCGAAGTAGGTTGTAGGGAGAATGTTTAATAGATGGCAGGGTGACTCCCAATGTCTTCTCTTATTTCTTTCTCAACGCCTTCACCTTTTTTTCTACTTTACGGATTATCATATAAAATCCATTCAATATTACTTCACAGATTTCGCATTTCTAGATATTGGTTAAATAATCTGTTTAGCATTCCATTGTCTGTAGGCGATGAAGGGTTCTCATATTTCGTTCGTTGGGTTATACTGTAACCATTATAGAATATTGCCTCCCAGGCCACTGAAAAATTAGGGAATTATCGGGATAATTTGTGAATTATCGGGAATAATTCTCCAACTAGGACTACAATAATCAAAATCTGCCGACTTTGGAAAATTGTAGTAATATTTAAGTAAAAATGCTGTGGTGTTATGGAATTACTGGCTGAAATTTGGCTCTTCATTTTTTGTAATAGCACTGCATCTTTTTCTATTAAACTCTACTAATCATGATCTCCAGCAAAAAAAAATGTTGATAATCAAAGATTAAAACTTAAAGATGAAGATTTATATAAAGGGGCAAGTTGTTATTGCAACGAATCAGCACGCTGATTTGTGGTGATATTTGGACAATTTTAAGTGTAATTTCTGGAAACATGAACGTTTGGTTAATTGAATGTTTTCATTCCCTTCATTGATACGCTCTACTTTTTATCTTTACTTTTAGGTTACTTTTTCCAAAATAAGAAAATTAATTAACAGTCAAACGAATATTTTGAGTCACTCTTATAATAGATTTCAATAATCACTTGTTGAATGATAATTGCAAAACAATGGGACACATTAAAATTTTGAGGAACAAATTAAAAATTAAAAAATTGACAAATGCAATAAGTCTATTTAGAAGCGAAATGATTTGCCGATTATGCAAAATAATTCGCCTGCAATAGCTGAACATTCATTCTATCCGCTTCATCTTTATTCTAGAAAACTAGGAAATCTTAGACTCTCCACCTCAATGGACAAAAGTGATGATATACGAGACGCAAAATTACCCACTAAAATCCGGCATCTTCCAAAAACACTGACAAGCATGAGCAGTGCTAACGTTTCAAGCCATTTATCAACTGAAACTGACAATGACTTGGTTGAGGCAGTTGGGTCCCTCTTTCGTGCTGAGGAGATGTCCAATTTTGCTGAAAAAATTGTTGCGGCTGAGGCAGCTGTTGCTGCGGTGCCCCCGGAGCTCGCTGAAGAGGCCGCCATGGCCGTGACACATACCTACCAACAGTTCGAGGATAAGGTCACTAAGTTCAGAGAAGTCGTGCGGGGTGATGCTGTTATTGAGGTCGTCGGCTATATTGGCGTCAGAACACCGAAGAACCAGTCAAAAGTTAATAACGGCCCCCTTTGCTGCTCTTGTTCCAATTAAAAGGAAACAGCCACTTCCAATTAAAAAGGGTCCTTAATCATGCGAGGAAATTCTCTGAAAGAGTAACTATTATTCTTTGTGATGGAAAATTGAGGGGAAATAAATCATAATACATCATCCCCGCTTGGGAAATTAATATTGTGATTGTCTGTGTTGAGTGATGGGTGTAATTCATTCGAATTTCGTGCATTAAACTTGACCGACTTCATATGCATGTCATTGACCAATGAGATAGAGACCTTACGCAGATTTTATTGCGTTCAATATTAACGATGTGAATTTATGTATATGACCATTTTGTAAAAGGATCGCTACAATGGAGCACAATTATTTTTGGTAAGGACTCATTAAGTCGAGGAAAATATGTATTTCTATATGAATGTTAAATCTTCAGGTGAGACAGCTTCAGATGGTCTCAACTAGTTCTTAATTATAATCCTATTGCTAATAATCTCGTTCTATAATTATCAGTATTTTTTTAATAGTAACAAGAATCCATTCAATTTCTTCTAAGACAATTCGGTATTTAAGAAAAACGGATGATTATTAGTAGAGTTTATTCAAGGACATATCCTACATTTTAATTGGAACATCTTCTAAAATTAACCTAATCGTAATCACTTGAAAATTAGCCTATTGGATAAATAACCTACTGACAAAACAGGCTATGTCCAATCGCTCAAGTAAATGAATCTTTGGAAAAAATAATGTTTTTTGTTTCAATGTATGCCGTAGTCTTTTCTCAATATACCATGATCAATCAAAGCTGATGAAATCGGAAGTAGCATTGCTGATCCAGTTCGGATCGGAAACCGCTGACCTCAGCCTTGATACAGTACCAGTGCTATAGAGAATTATTACTGATTAGTAGAGGATCGAACCCGAGCGACCTAAGCCTCTTTGAAGATTCCGAATCTTGCTCGATTTAGCATGAATAATTCAGAGGACCTAGCTAGTTACTTTTTGTCCATACCCCAAATTTTGAATAGTTCCTCATGAATTTTGTGCTTCCCTCTAGGAATCGTGCTGAATAAAATCAATCAATTATAGATTATATTCCAGAAATCAGTGGATTTGAACTCGTCTATCAGGAAAAAAATCCTTTGATGGTCTACATCATTATTCACAAGAGAAGAAAATTGCAGTACGTCGTTATTTCTAGATCGAATTGCTTACGCGAGATAAAAACACGAATCAATTTTGAAAGATGAGAGACATTAAAAGTAATTCTCAATAATGCTGCTTGTTGGGATAATAATGAGAAAGATAAACCGCTGGAGAAAGAATTTTGATGAATATTGTTCAATGCATGCTGTAGTATAAATTATAAAATAACATTTGGAAGAAAACTTTCAGAGAAGTTCTCATGCAACAATATAATAATTTATATTGCGAGTTCTACAATATTTGTTTAATTATTATTGCTTATTAGATTATTGGAATTCTCTAATAAACTCCATTTTAATTGAAACAACTGGGAAAATGCTCCTTCAGAATATTTTGGGCCAGCTGTCATAAAGAAAAACAGATTTAAACAAAACGCAAGAATACAAAAAAAAATTAGATGAATTGAGTTTTAATTAATATCGCTAGGGCTCAATTGCGCGGATATATTAATGCCCAATCGCAGATGAAGTTTAGAAAATTACATAGTTGATCATTGTTTTTGTACTGGACTAGCTTAGGTATGCAATATATAATAAGTTCAGAATTTAAGATTCAACGAATCTGGGAAGTCTTCTATAATAAGTATAAAGTCTTTATTAATAGTGGAAAGAAATATATTGATATGGTATGGGGGGAAATGAGCCACAGGTTCTTAAGGGCCTCATCATCCTCTCCCTTTCAAGATGTAAAGGGCATTGCCAAAGGATATGATTCAAGTTTTCTTTTGAAGTACCACGCGAGCATTCTTCGATAAATGTGTTTCTCAACTACGTTTTCTATAAAAATGGCCTAGTGATCGGACTCCCAGTTTTCGTCGTGTATGCAATTCTTAATTCTATCTACGCGTGAAGAAGAGCTGAGAATAAGATCGAAATTGGATTCGCTATTCTGAACTTGATGAGTAATAGTATCTGTGTTATGTCAAATAATATTGTGTGTTAAGGATGTTCTGCTGGTATTTTGTTATTTTTCTTGTTTTTCTGAGATTTATTGAAAACTATCGATCGTATTGGGATATGAAAATATAGCATGTGTCCGTTCCATCATGATTGACCCATTCATAAAGTTTCATCCCGATACACTAAATTTTGATTAAAAAATTATAAAAAGTGGTATATTAGGATGAAACTTTGTGAAAGGATAAATCATAATCTAACAAACAAACGCTATATTTTCACATCCCAATCCGATCGATAGTTTTCAATAAATCTCAGAAAAATAGGACCAATAACAAAATACTGGCAGAACATCCTTAACAACAGATCTTCAATAACAATTGAGGAAGTTAGTATGATTTATTGAACAGTTCCATGCCAGGCTGTGGGCATTCCGATTCTTTATAAGCAAAGAATATTCTGAAGTGTTTGAAAGAGGAACAATCTAGTCCCATTTCCCATGAGATAAACTCCTGGGGTGTGAGGCTCAAGAAATGGCAAAGATATTGATAGCTAGGATAGTATTGCGGTTACTCAAATTCCAATAATTTCAGCTGTTTCACTTCTCTCGAATTTAATAAGGTGTAGAGATTTTTCCTGATGGCGTCGAACCCACGTTCCCTCCTACCATGTTTTCTATCTTTTCGTATAATATTAAGCCTAGAAAAGAAATTGGCGTGAATGATTGTTGAATTAAGCTATGTTTCAGAGGATAATAATATCTAAAGACTTAACTATAGTTTAAAATTTCCGGAAGATGAAGAAGCAGACTGTGGCAATTGCCCCGAGAGATTCCAAGTCCAATAGAATGAGTTGAGGTCGATTGAGCTTGTAAATTGGGATAACTGTTGTTGATTGGAGCCATGGCGACTATTTCTGGTTGAGGGCACTTCGGTTTCCCAGATAGGCGTGGCTGAGAGATTTGGACCTGGAGGAACAGAAGGTATTTTTTGAATTGTTCATTGGTAATAAGTGCAACGGAATTGTCAATCATCTTAGCGATTCCCCTGATATCGTGGGAAAATAATTCAACAGTTCCATGGAATCCCCTATCTTGACAATTAACTACCAACATAACAACGCCATCGAAAGAAATAGTATACGTTTCGGAGTTGGTTTCAAAGTACTCCCATGCTGCATAAACTTTTTGATGAACAGAAGAAATTTCTTTATTCCCTTGATTGACTTCCTGCATTTCCATGATATCTAGCGGGGGATTAGAGAAAAGTCACTTACTTGAGAAGGCGGTTTGTGGACGGTTCAGTTTCGGATGTAATTTGAAGATCATGAGATGAACCATTACCAGGTGAGGTAACACGAGTCTGTGGGTCATCAACCTCTCTTGTTCTCGCAGGTGCTGGCTGTGTGCCCTTCTTCATGACATCAATAACACACTAGTTGCCAAGTGAATAAATAAATCCAGTATTTGGTATTTTCGGGGCGATGATGTAATTCTATTGCTCTGGGATATACATAACTTTGTGCCATGGGAAAATATGATGGAAAGAGTGGGGGCGGGAGGCAGGGGGGTACTTCCCCGCTTCCATAGAGATCAGCTTGGATGTAGGTCTAATCTGCTGTAGTACTATTTCATCGGGGATTAACAGAGTAGAGACAAGAGTTCGAGACAAACAGCTTTTGCGTCTTTACGTGGTACGGACGATTTGGAAGAGTGTGTGTTCACAGTGCTATGCTGGCAGGTGTAACAGTAACAGTACGATATCCTTGGTTTTGGTATAGTAGGTGACTCATCCGAGCAATTTATTTTGATGAGTGATTGGCCTGGGATCAACATTTTCGTCGAATGCCTTGGTGTATTGGAAAATAGAAATATGATCGCTAACTAGAATAACAATCGCATGTCCTTTCATTATTTTTTGGACAGACTGGAAGTAGGATGGTTGAAAAGACATATATATTTGATTAGAATCCGCGCTCGGTGCGGATTTCAATAAAATGTATTAAAGATTTCTATGGTTAAAAAATGGCGTGTAATACATGGAGTTCCATGACTTGGGCCATTGTTGAGGTGACAATAGTATGTACACCAGATCTCGACCAAGCAATGGTCAAATGATTGATGATTGGCAAACCCTACTTGGACAAGGGCTTACCACAATATCTTTTTTAAAAACGCTTTAATAATGAGTTGAACGAAATATTCCCGAGGAAATTGACGAGCTGTTGACAAGCACATCCGTTCCCTTCAGTGGTTCAATCGAGACACCCAAGTAAAACCATTATATATTATAGATTTATGAGTAACGAGGATTGATCGTTGAAAATTGGTCAAGCATCGATGAAAACCGATTGGATTAGAACATTCAAAGCGAGCTTGAATTCAGTACCTATCATACGTATTTAGTCATCGACTGATTACAGAGTCGAAGCCAATAATGAAAAATTGAACCAGATTCTACCATTCGGATGGATTAACAAACCGAATTATCAAACTGATGCAAAATTACAACGCAGACCCACGACTGATCAGAATCAGTTGCTACTAGTTAATGTCTTATTCCAGCCCCTTTTGAATTTCCTCTTGGTATTTTAATTCGTCCATAAAATTGGCCTGTAACTACAATCCATCTAATCCTCGTGAGCTATTTCATTAGTGGTTTTTTATGGACTTAAAAAATTCCGAAATTCCTGCACCGTCACTTATTAGCATGGAAATGAGATAATTATCAGATCATAGGATTATAGCCAGTTATATATAACGACAGTTCGGTCACGTAGTCATTACTCTCGTCGTTAATTATGAATGAATAACGCACTTCTTCACCCATATACTCATTTTTTTTATATAACCCTCATTAAAATGAATCATAAAGATTAATAAAAATTAATAAAGATCAATAACGACAAGTACAGGTAGGAAAGAGCGGAAAGAACATTATTTTTGGAAAATTCTACTTAATAGTCTATCAATCGACTAATTATTTAATAGGTAATTTTTCCATTTATATTTTATTATTTATAAAAAATGTTAAACATTGAAAATAAAGTAATATTCAGTGAGCGTCCGTTTTTCTCCAGCATCATTCAGTAAAGATGGGGAAATGCAGAGTTGAATTGTTGAATTTTAATATTTCTCCAAATAAAAAATTCACGCTATCTCTACCAGTTTTTATATTTCCGTTTCTGGAAAGATGGTCGATGGTTCTCTTAAAGCAGGACTAGGGCATGGGAAAAGGGGAAAATTCACACTGGGTCTTGTATTGTATTGTACGAACAAGTTTATATTTCATACTGTCCATTCCTAGACAGCATTTGCCGACCAGAACTGGGCAAGGGAAAAGGAAACCCCCTAAAAGTAAAGCTCAAGTAGTTGGTTAAGAGTTAGTGTCTCTTGAGTCCATTATCCCTTAAGCATTGAGGAATTATTTCTTGATAATAAAACATAATAGAAGTAAAAACACAAATTATAGTGCTCATTTTTTTACTTCCATAATCAAACATGAATAAAAACTTATCCTTAAAACTTAGTAATTGAGAAATAGATTTCCTGTTGTTTGATCATCACAGGCATGCATTCTGATATCTAGGATTGATATTTCCCCTAGTTATTCGTCGCTAATTGCCAAGGCGACCGTAAGCTCTCACGTTAATATAGAGATTCACACAGCCACAGAGTACCGTATAGATTAGAATGTTAGCTGCATCCTATGGTAACAATAGACGAGTAACATATAGTAATAGCAGCAAAATGCCGGGCAAGTTGGGAGGGGATGTAGGGTTTAAACTTGGTAGCAGTAGTAGAGACGCATTCTGATCCGGCCACCGACAACGAGGATATATGTGCAGGTGCCTAGGCGTCTTTGTGGAGATAGGGTCAACACTTCCATAATTCCTTGTCTCATAACTCTGTCGGTGTTGCTAGTTAATTTCATCCTTAAATTTGGAGAGGTTTGGATCCTTCGATAAAGCAATCGTCTTTCTTCACTAAAATAAGTGTAGTCTCCGATCCTATTATGAATACTTCATATCCTGTCACGTTTACCCACACGCTTGTAATTATGGACATAGTTTGAAGAGTTTTGAGAATGTCCACAACTACGGAAACTGATTAATTGGTCCTCTTACAATGCAAGAGACACTCCTACTTTCGATTCAAGGATGCAGTACTCCCGTACACTTCCGTCCCTTCAGCCATTTACTATTATTCAGTAGTTTACCATGTGCTATATTGATTCTCATGCGAATTATAGTATGGGAGGGCCGGAAGAGACAGATGGATTCCGGAAAGTAATTTACACCAAGTCAAATTATCGCTCTGACGGTTGCTTCCAGACTGGCTTGTAATTTTCGCCTCCGGAAGCGGATTTATTTCTGATGATTACACGAATCGATTTTTAATTGATGGAAATTATAGCGTAATTTTCCCACTTCTTATTCTCACAAGGAACTGACCTGGCAATTCTGCAATTTTGATCGAATGATGCACTGCCCGGGTATGTGTCACTCTGGCGCAAAAGCGAGTGCACTCACCTGTATGGTGAAGTCGATTTAAAATTGAAAATTGATTAATTCATTAATTCATTAATTGAAATTGATTAATTGAGAGTTCGAATTTAATATTCATTGAGAGTATTTGCAATCATTAATATTTATGGAAAATCCAGGAATAGTATATTGTTATATCGCGAATGCGGTACAAAGAATAGGAGGCGGGATCGGAGCTTGTAAAAGCCGACAATAGTCATCCCATCTCCTAATTATTATTGCAAAAAAAAAGGGAAGGAAAAATTATGAAGGACTCGAAAAAATTGTATGGAGTTTTTCAAGTACTTTTTCCAGTATCTTTCTCTCCCTATGAAGAAATAAATCGCATGGTGCAACGGAAAGCTCTAGAAAAAATGATTTATAGATGTTTATTACAAAAGGAATTTCAATGGAATATGAAAAAGGCTGAAGCCCATTCACTATAAAGCGTATAATATCATCAATTTACGACAAAAGTCGAGAACTTCAGTTTTTCAATTTAATTTTTCTTCTATGTAGGGAAAAGTTGTAACGGAAAGCTTTAGAAAAAGCTGTCTATAGATGTTTATTGTAAACTCTTCATGCACTGAAGTATGAAAAAGGCATAAAATTCATACGCTACAAGGCATGGCATATCATCAATTTAGCATGAATGGCAGCAAAAATTAAAAAAAACCAAACCTTGTTTTTCCAATTTTGTTAACGCTTTGTTTAAACAGTTTTGGTGCTATGTAGTGGATTATTACGCTGATATTTTTCACGAGAGCACATCCAGGTGAAACGTATCAATGCATATTTTTAGTTGCAAATATTACTCGTTCTGAGGATGGGATGGGTTTCGGAATAGGAGTGAGTCAATGTCCATTTCAACTATTATGCTAATTAACTCTTTACTAAATCTGTTCGGTAAAAAAGCGACACATAAAGTTGATCGTTTATTAGTGTACGAATCTAATTATCCACACAGAAAACAATAGCCATAAAATACGAAATTTCAAATGTAATTTATGAGATGTACGTAAATTACCCCTCATTTTGGAAAATTGATACCAATTTTGCGTACATCAGTAGTACTTGCAATAGCTGATACCATTGAAATGATTTTACGATTAGTGGCTAAGTATAGTTTTCTTACTAATATCCCACTTTCTCTCCAACTGCCCCTCCCCTTTGCCATCTTATTGCACAATTTTTTTTCAATCGAAATTTTTCTCGCATACGGCATGCCTGATCTGGGCCTCACTCGGGCCGAATTAGGTTGGCAGTACTGAACTTAGATGAATCCCGGAGTAAGAAGACGGACAATTCTATTTATCTGAATAATGTAATTAGCTGCAATATTTTTTTGAGAAGTTTTGAAAAAAAATACCTCACTTGGCATGCCTAACCAAAAAAGGAGACATTGTCGCCAAACTTCGTATTTTTATGTTTTAGACCATTCCGTAGGTAGGAATTAACCATCGGCCCAAGCCTAGCCAGCGTAGGGATAGGCCTGGTATCCGGGCCTGGTCCTATCCTGAAATGGAACACTGGACCAAGATAGACCCCAGCCTAGAGACAAGTCTTAGTATCCACGCTAGGATCAAGCCTCGATTCTAATTAATACTAAATACTTGAGGCCGACTCCGAATTTATTATTATTCTATTTCTCGTTGGTTCTTATCTTTCTTACATGAAATAATGATGGAAATAATTGTTTTAATGATTAAAAAAATTACATTTAAGAAAAAAAATGACCGCAGTGGGGCTTGCACCCGCGATCATCGAATTCAACAGTTTTCAATAAAAATAAGCAAGACCATGTTATTAATTATTTCGAACCCGATGGTCATTGCTCGATTTCCGTAGATGACCGGCCCGATCCCGTTGCCCCAATGAAGATCACTCTCGCCCACCGTTGTTGTGCTGAGCATCGACTGCACACCTGTACCTGAAACATGCACTTAATGTGCCACTACTAACTCACTAACCGCTGCGCTAAGTGCGGTTACCTTATAACACGTTATATATCACTCCTCCCATTTTCCTCTTGTTTCAATTCCGACTACTCTATTTTATTATTGTACTCGTTTCCCCTCCTACAATTATGCAGGAGAATTATCACAGTTATTTAAATAATTGAGTTAAGCATACCACTCCTGGGAATGGATTGGCCGAGGATTGGTCAGTCTCCGTTTAAAAAATTAACCCGCTTCAATCGTGGGTACAACGGGATCTAGGCTCGGTATTCCAAGACTAGCATACCAGTCCGGAGTCTGCTAAGGCAGGGCTGCCATGTTAGCTTTGAAAATACATTGGCTCCATCAGTGGCCCAAGCAAGGGACAGTGTGCTCTAGTTTCGCCTCGACTGGAGCTTATATACCAGCATTGGATAGAGCCTTGTCCAAACCTGGAAACACGCAGCTTTGAGAATACGTTGGTTTCCCCAGTGGGACAATGGTCCAATTGTCAAGCTTGCCATTCCCTGCCTGGGATGTCGCATTATATCCCAGAAACTGTACCCAATGTACAGACTCTGTATGTTTGAAGTTTCGGCCAAGAGGAACAATGCGTCCTCCCAGCAAACTTCATAGCGGATGCTATTTTTTACCATTTTCCTATGATTCTTGGTGTCTTCTGGTTCGCAGAGTGCCTCGAAATTCTTGAACACAATGATTAGTAAATTTCTGCTGAATTTTACCGTTTCGAAAAAAATGCGTAATTTTTTCGTAGCTCTTTTCGTGACAAACCCGAAAATTTACTGATCAGCTCCACTTTTTCTCTTCTATTTTTACAGAAATTCACCTAAAATGATTTTCGCTTGTGAATTATGTGAAATGTTCCGTTTTTTTTTTAATATATTTTTTTTCGATTTAACCATTTCTGTCACCGTGTCACCGGCTAATTATTTAGTAATTTGCATTTGTTCAAAGACATCGAATCAATGGTCAAACTTCAAACGTAACCCTATATAATTGACTGCATTAAAAAGGCTATATAAATGATAATATTTTCCTGAAAATAATGATTTGCGTTCTCAATAATGAATTTCTCAGTTTTTTCCCATTTCTCAATTTGACCCTCAATTATTAGTTTCATCCTATTTGTATTCTTAACTTCATTTATTTAATTTCTTATTTTTTCATTTGGTTATTGTTCTTTCTACATATGCAATATAATTTTTGTACAGATGAGTGGAGTGAGAGTTTCCCGTATCAACTTCTGATTGGCACTGGTGTAGCACTCATGGCACTCGTTCTTCTCGCAGCTGTGAGCTTTCAGTGTTCATCCACATGGAAGTGGCTCCTAGGTGTCGCCAGACAAGAGAGTGACGATGACACCGATGGAGAATTGTCTCAACAAAATGCAATACGCATCAGTCATTCGCTACCTGATTTGCAGTCTGAACCGATTACGCATGAGTATATTCAGGAGCAGAAAGATAGTAAAAAGGTTGGTAAATTTTTTGAATTTCAATAAAATCTAGACTCATTTGAACCTTTGGGAGAATGTGAAAGCTTGGCACAGGGGTAATTTCTATACATCAATTCTCTTTCGACAGTCGGCATAGGATATTCGGTAAAGGAATACAATACCACCCTCATACGTAACCTAAATTTCATCGTTGAATTTATATACTTCAAGTCACCCCATTTATTATGATGAGTGCCTGCGTACACAGGAAATTTTGCTCGTAGCCTGTTGGTTACAGTCGAGAGGGGAGGGAATCAGTTTCTCATGGTTAGTTGGTTAGTTAAATTTAGCGGGTGTGCGGTCGAGCTTCCCTGCCGCCACCAAACTCTGTTTCGAGTTATTGTAGCTCCGCCTACGTTAGGTTACAGATTAAATTTCCGGTCCGGCTTTTTTCGTCAGCTTGATGCAATCCGAATCTTATTGCACCCTGATGACAGGTTCCTCTTCGGTTACACTTAGCGAAGCTTGCTGCGCCAGTCCGTCCGCCTCTTCGTTGCCATGAATGCCTTCATGTCCTGGGACCCACGCTAAGGTCATCTTGTTGTGTCCTCCCAGCCTTTCCAACTCCTCCATGGTTTCCCAGACCTGAGTCCGTGTTGGGTTTTAGGAGTGCTTCGATATACTACAGTCAGCGTAAGTTTTCAATTCCCTGGGTACTCGTACCCAACGTAGTTACTACATGTAACTATGTCCCCCACTCCCAAAATAGAAGGAAAAACTTATGCTGGCTTCAGTGGCCCGACTGCAGAGTGATAGTGACCCGACTGCCTGATCAAATGTATATATATACTTGTTCATCGTCTGCCGATTTGCCAGAATCTCTGAGCATTTCTCGATGGCCAACATTTCGGCTTGGTACACTGTAGTTTTGGTTCTGAGGGATCAGCTGCTTTCATAATGCTTCGTCGGTCCATGCAGTCCCTCCCGAAACGGTCTCTATCTATATCCTGAACCGGTCGTGTACCAATGCATGACCTTCTAGCTTGGTGATCTCTTCGGCGTTTGCTACCAGATGGTGCAGGATGGTCTCTGTAAACATTCTTCCTATAGGCATACCGCGATCAGGACATTGGTCGGTCCATTAGTGACCTTTTTATATATCTATTTATAAGTCTTTCGAGCATCTTGAGAACGAAAGAAGTTAGACTGATTGATCTAAAATCTCTGAGCTTGACGTAGCCATTTTTCTCAGACGATAGTTTTTAACCTTGTGATCTGAGCCTGAGGGTTCCTTTGAGACCCGCCATTTCCCTACCATGTCCACCGTGCTCGCTGTGTAGATAGTTATGTCCAGCACTTCTTGAAGGTCGGCTTCGTTTCTCTATTTAGAAGTATGGCAGGTTTTTCCAAAACGAAGTAGTGTAGGGCTTCACGTCTTGCATTGGTAATGAAGCTCCCCCATCGTACGTGGTGGGAGTTGGTATCACTTCCAAGCAAGAGTTTTAGCCCATCCTTCTTGACTTTGTTTGTGAGGTCCTCGACTTTCTATCTCAGAGGAGGCTCTACGGAGTTGTAGGGGAAACAAGCTGACCCTACTATGCACTCCGAGATTCTGTCTTCTCATAACTTAATTTTTATTATGGCAACCGCCGGATCCCCATTAGAGTTGTCGTAGGAAAGTGGTCTCTGTCCTTATAGTGAGGAGGCAGGCCCTTATCCTGTTTTCCCCAGGATTTGCATGGAATAACTTTCCACGATCTCGTTGGCCTTTTACTTTCCCATCCACTAACCACGATTCTTGAATGATAACTATGGCGGTCTGCATCGTAGCTATCGTCCTGCAGAGGATAACTGAGGCGCTTTTGCTGTGATGCAAATTAATTTGAACTATCTCGTACGGCCTGTGGGCCATTGAAGGGCTCACTTGAGCTCCTAGCTAGTCTGATATCTTCCCTCTTGCGGTTCTTCTCGAACAACTTTACAATTGATCTATGAGTCCCGCAGTTCTGTCGCCGATTAGTGCGGCGAAGTGGGCGCTCGCAGCTCCTTTTGCTGCCCTTCACAACGACCTAATCGTCGGAGTCGATCCCCTCATTCTGCCGTCCCATAAGCTTGATAGCGGCTTGGCACGACACCTCCTCTATGTGTACCACCATCCGATGGCGCATTTATTGTAAGGGATCACGTAAGCCTCATTCATGATCATCCTGACTCTGGCCAGCTGAAGCATTCAACAAATAAGCAGCAATCAATCAATTTCTTAACTAAATTAAATATTGAATCAAAAGGATTTATTACAAAGTTTTCAATACCAATAATCCGCAAATTCAACAATTTTCACACCTCAAACTGCAGTACATGCTTTGTTCTGCTTGAAATCCAGAAAATAGAATAAAATAAAATTTAAATTAATTTAATTGAATCAATAATCCGACGAAAAGACCTTCATTCTTGGTTAATGTGACAGTACTATCTATCAGTTCCCAAATAAATACTCACACATGAAACGATCGAAATAACACAATATATAATAACAAGCCAAATTATAGGATATATCATTTTCCAAGTTATTTTATTAATATGTATAATTAATAATATTAGTATGAAGAGAAAAGAGATTTTTTGAGAATATTTTGGGCAAATGTTTCGCTAACTACCAATGTAATGTGATAAATTTATAGATTGAATGACAGATCAATGAATTTCCTAATCACTGAAATTGATTCTGCAGCATGTACTACGGCAAACAACTCTACCAATTGTTCCAACGAGGCATCAAACTTTCCAACGTCAGCTGTCCCATCGTCTCGATCTGCCCAATATTAAATTCAGCATCTGCAGCTTGGAGAATCGCAGTGACTCGAGCCTCGGCCTCATCAAGGTAATCACTTGTAACGAAACTTTTATGCTAAGTATGATTGTCTTAATTATTCCCTGGACCGTCTTGGCTCTCTAGTTTCTCAAAGTCCACTTTTCAGAATAAATTTAAAAACGCCAGTTCGTCCTACAATGATTACTTTCTTCCGGTGCTTCGATTTCCCGTCTTACCAGTTTTTCCAGATTTCAAATTTCCAGGGTTTTTCCCCAGATACGAGTGTTCAAACTGATGTCGTTATACCGTAATGAATCGACCCACCAGAATGGGTTCTACTTACCAAACGTGGGTTGGATCCTACCATATTCTCGCGACTATAATCAATAATATATTGTGCACCAAGGTAAGAAAACAGGGCATTTTAATTCGTATGTGTATTATTCACCTGCGGCGAAGCCAAGGGTGGTAGGTAAACAGGAAGGTTTGAATGCCCTGCCTCCCTTGCCCGGTGCACATTGTTCTTTCCGCAATCACTCCACGGAAAAGTTCCATTTTCCTTCGTAAATGAAGGAAGGAGTGTGGCTTATGTCATCCCGACGATCCTCAAAAATAAAAATCTGAGGGATAGAATAGGCCACGTCATTAAGGGAGTCGTTATTATGAAAGTAGAAACACAAAAATGAAGTTCGCCCGAGTCGAAATATCTCGAAACCTGTAGAACTAATTCCTCATTGGTCAACTGGAAGCGCCAAATTCAAATTCAGCACACGAAGTGCGCAGTAGGTCTCGTAAAGTCTAACTTGCCGTGGAGGTATGATGCAAAATGAAGTTACTCCTTGATAATAGTGCGAGATTTGCTCATTCTTTCACCAATTACCATCAGATTTTCAATGATTAGAATAATTAAATCCATAGAAACGAATTCCTCAGAGGTGGCCTATTCGTATACAGAACTTAATCGCGGCTATTTGACTTGCGGACGCTCTGCGACGTCTAGCGGTACTGGCAGAACTATAATTTTAGATATCTCACCGGGAATACATGGCATTGACCCTGCCATTCCTCTCGTTCCCCCTTTATTTACCAGTTTCCCCACAACAACAATAAAATCTCATTAATATCTTTAAGAACAAAAAAAAATATTTTTTCTCAAACCATGTGATCCCTCATACTCTACCACAATTCAATAATATGAGGCAGCTTTCCAATAAAGTGCGCCCTCAGAACTAATATTTATCCGATAACCATGACTCGTTTTTATTGAGTCAACTCCGGAATGTATATCCCTACGTTAATCGTTCCATTGAGTGAAAATTCACGCTCCCACGGGGAATACCGCAAAATCAAATTGAATTTCAACTTCATGCACCTGTCAATAACATTTCGAGGGGTCTTTATATCTATCGATTAGTTTTGTATTTGTTTGTTTTATCCCACCTGTAAATGCACATTCTTTTAATTCTTCTACGCTACATCAATCCCAATAATTTTTCTGTACTATACAAAAATTTAACTGCCTAGAATAATTCTCTTGTTAACTCTTGTGTTAAAACTCTAAACTGAAACATTCCTGTATGCGTTTTTGGAAATTCATTTTCTAAAAACTTACGAAGAGAACAAATTACTTCAGGCGATTTTGAAAATCCATCAAGCTAGAAAGATGAAAATGCATTTGTGAATTCTTTTTCAAAAATTAATAAATAAGTCTTTTTTCTTTTTTACACAATTTGTGCATAAGGAGATGAAATGTAGAAAAATCTGGAAACTTTCTCAGTCTTCTGGAAGTTCCTAGAAAATATTTTAATAACATTCGGAGGTTTTTTACGCGTTATTACATTTACTCAACAATAGTTTATATACATTAAGGTTTTTTCCTGCGTAAAACAAAGCTTTTGGTTTCTTCTAAAATATGTAAACAGAGTGTATCCAGAAGAAATGTCGCTAAAGTCCTTGGATATCCTTAATACCATCATTATTTTCGACACTTTTCTATGAGTAATTTTTTCTGCATTGACTTTGACATTTCTATTATTTTTATTCAATTTATATTATAGTATTGCCTGACTTGTGATATCCTTCATTAATTTTGGAATGAAGAAAAATCTTTAAGGGACTTTAAAATAATTCTGCTCATCATATCAGAAGTTTTGATAAACAAATAAATGACTATTCTCCTATGTTCTAATGGGATTATGCAGCCAGAGTTGTACAAGAAGGATTTGACAAGGCAGGAGAGTACTGAAAGCTCCAGTACAGTGGAAATGGAATATGCCGGCAAGCTCCATTTTGCGCTGAGATACGACAAAGAAATTGATGGACTCGTTGTTAAGGTAATTTTTTTTCTTTCCCATCATCAAATTCGTCACCCATTTATTACATGAAAGTTTGTTATCGTATAAAATATTTACTCTGCAGTTATTGTTTAAATTTTAATGGTTAATAGTTAATCAACTATAAAGTGGCTGCAAATTGATCATTTTTTCTTGGAGACTGTCCACTTTGAAATTTGGGTCAAAAATTTTTCAATTTGCGTAACTTTTCACCTGTTTCATAAATGGTTCGATAGTACTTCAAATAAAAATGATTTGAGGCAGAATCCGCATCATTGAATAAGGTCAAAAAGAATTAAATCAATTCACCGTTTCGTTTTCGAAGACTAATTACATAAATTTCATAAATTTACATGGTTAAGAATAACTGGAATGGAAAATATAGTTATATTTTAGTTGTTCATACACAATTGAATCAATCAAGGGAGACTAAATATATACTATCAAAAGATTTTTGTCTGGGCCCTTTTACAGCGCATAAACTTTTCAAGAAGACGGTCGCGCGACAACTAATGTTATATCAAGATTAGTTTTGGAAATAAAAACAATTTAAAGCAATAGAGCAATAATTGCATTTTCGGATTTTTCGAGTCGTAATGAGCCGATATAACGCGAAAAATACAAATCTTAAATTTCAACGATTACAATGTTGTCATTTGGAAGCAAAAAGTAGTAAATTATTTACAAATAATGTATTTTGTAGGAGTCCAAGAAATATTTCCATCGTGATTATTTCCGTTATAACAGGTCAATATGTCGTTTGAATTTCTCGAAAATCATCGTGACAGATTTACATTATTTTAATATGGAAATGTTTGAAGATTTTGATTTTCTTCAATTAACACAACTACAAGTTTTCGTTGATAAATTGAAAATTTTCTTCTATATAGCGCAATTGAATTTTCAAATATGTTAATATTGCGAAAACCTTATCACAGGATTGATTCGAATTTATATGCATACAATTGTTATCGCCCACCATAAAAATTAAATATTCAATAATTGAATAATTGAATCCTATTGTGACTATTTTTTAATCGGATCAAGATACCGTCATACCGTGCTTATGTTAATTTTACCAATTACTTTTTCAGCAATTGTTGATAAATGAGGGGAAAATAAGATTTAGAAATCGAGGTGGAACTTCCCTAGAAATATTGTTATCGTTAAAATTGAAATTCTGTATGTTTTGTTTCATGTCAATCCATAATGACCCAAAAAGTCGCAAAATGCCATTTTCCATGAGAATGTTTTCGAACTTCATCTCTGAATAAGTGCTAATAGATCCGTGAAATTAATTTTTTTTCATGTTGAGCCATAATTGTCGATATTAATTAAAATTCAAATAATTTATCAATTTATAAAATCTTCTGATTTTTTCAAAAATTCGTTTTTTTCGATAACTGCACAAAAAATTTCAGGAAATACTTTAATGATGACTTGAAAAATTTATTTCAATGTCTTGTTGAGCAAGTTTTGGAAGGTGGAAATAACAGCAATAATCGTTGTACTCGTATATAACAAAGATTGGCCAAAATTTGTACTGTGGAAATATTGAAATCCTGATGGGACATATGTATTCATCCTCAATAGAATTTGATTACAGCCTAAAAGACAATTTCGATGCTTCACTGTTGGAACTCGAGGATAATTACCGTAGCTATATATGTCGATATAATTTTTCAGATGATCTTTTCTAATTTCGAATTTCAAAGTTGGCAAAAGCCCATTGGGTGGTGTCTTGCTCATTTAATTCCGCACTTGTCATGATTAATAATCACCAGAATACTAAAGCAAATAATAATAATAACGAAATTACAAAAAAGATTTGAAAAATGCAGAAATTACGCCAATGATTTATAGATACATCGGAAATTTCTGATGAATCCATCTCTTGACATTTCTCCAACTGCGTAATTTTCCTTGAAGATAATGAGAAAAAAATTAATAGATATTTTTTATCGACACTTTTTTTGGTTTTGAAACATGCTCAAGTGGTTAAATGAACTTTACGTTGAATAGCGCCCATCAAATTGGAAATGTTGTAGTATTGATCTGCTCGTCAATGCTATGAAAAGGGTCCGAGTGGGGGTGATGCATCTCTAATGAAGTCACTTAGAAAGTATGTCCTGGCTTTAAACTGAATAATCAATGCAATTCATTTAACTCTCACGTGTGCGGTCCTTTCGCTACGCGGAGAATTTCAATGTAACGCCATTTACCAAGGATCTTATAAATCGTTAACTACATATTTTAAACAAATTATATACTGCCGTAAAATTAGATGGATTTTAATTATATTATAATTTGAATTGAATTTCAATTAAAAATACTCACTAAAATTCATGAAAATTGGTTATTGCAAGTTCAATAATAATAAATTATATATCCGTACTGCTTTTCAAGATTTGTTGTCTGGGAATTGGTACTGCATACTTCCCAAATTCGGAAACTTAAAAATCACTGCGGAAAAAGGCTATCCGAGCTTTTGGGATTGGTTTTTTTCACTCTTGTGGTTGGCGAGTTCTTGCCTGCCGCAGGAACGCCAACTCCACACGAGTAAAAAAACCCATTCCAACAGCCCTGAAATCAGCAGATGCGGCAGTGATAGTCATAAACAAGTACGTGCCGACCGAGTTTCTACGGGTCGACTGTCTAACAGTCAGACTCTAACTGCTGCACTCCTATACGCCTAAATTGAATGACGCAACAATAAAATTAACCTTCTCCAAAAAGTATTTTGAATTAGATTGTTTTTCTTTTTTTAATGTCCTTAATTTATCATTATCTTCAGATTAAGCATACAAAAAAATATATTCTAATGATTTTTTAATTATTTAAAACCGGAGGCCAAAAATCTACTCTTTGCGAAATTTTTTCATAGACGTCATAGTGGTGTGAGTTCATATACACATGCACGGTTGTGTGAATCATACAGGCGCGTAGGACGCTATGTCTGTTATTTACACAGCACCGTAGCTTTAGTTGTGAATATCTCGAAAAATATTGAAAAGTTATCGAGACATTCTAACTTCTTATCTTGATCTTTGAATGATCTCTATAAGTTGATTAGTTCTCTAGAAATTAATGCCAGACGATTGACTTTTTCTGTTGTTCTATGTTTTTGTTGCGTTTTCATTCAACTTTATTTGGTTGTCAACCAAAATGTCTGACTTTTATTCTAAAAGCATTATTCACGTATAGACAATCAATGGTTTAAATTGAAAAAATGTAATTCAAGGTAGTGCGCTAATTTTTTTGACGTTTTTTTTATTTCATTGGAAAACTGCAATAATTTTATGAGGAATCCAAGAAATTCAAATTACTAGCGTCATAAAATCGATGAGAATTCTCATGAAAAAAAAAATTATGGAGTAATCGAATATCAAAAAAATTGAAAATGTTCATTAATGAAAAAAAAATTAGAGAAAAGAGTTGATTTTTTCCCAACTTTAAAACATTGATTTTCCATAAAAAAAATAGCTTTAGCATAACAATAATGTTTTTTTCAAAATGAGGGTGTTTGGATTGAAAATTGTGTATAAAATTCATTTAAAATATAATTAGTACAACTGAAATTCATTAATGAACACAAAGATTAAAATTTGTAAATGAAATATTGCTAAAGGCTTTCGTTTTATTTTATTGCATTACTTTGACCTTTCGTTATAGTTTCTTCGATATCTTCGATATCTTTCGTCCGGAATATTCACAACTCGAAAGGTGATTAGCGAATTGATGATTGCGAAATGTTTTTAATGGAGTTAGAGAAAAAAAGTGTTATGAATTCATTGGCTGTTAATGAATTGAGCGACGAGAAAGGGGGTGGGTGGAGAAGCTGAAAGGGATTTCTTCCGGAAGATTGAAGTGCGGCTGAAACGAGTACAAGCAATACAAGTGATGGAAACTATATTGGCTCGTCAATCTGCTTTTGTCGATCATGTCGTGTCATTTCCAACACGACGTTTTGTGCACCAGTTTAGCTATTCAAACTGGAATTATGTCCCGTTCTATATTCACAACATCTGTGATGAATGTCAGCCTATGTCCTTCAAAATTCTGGGCAAATCAATATATCTGTAACGTCATGTGACTTATATTTCTCACTCCCATTAAATGACGTCTATTTTTATGCAATTGGATGACTGATTTATTAAGTTTACTGCAACGAATTTGACACTAAATTTAAGGAATCCATTGAGAGAAAGATTGATAAAACTGCCATTTATGATTTTTGAATATTAGAAATCAACATTTAATTTTAATTTAAATTAAAGACTCATTAAAGTGCTCTTCCGTGTGGTTGCATATAATCTTCGAAATTCAAATTCATACATACACGTAACTGCGGTAATTTTCTCCTGATTTCAACAGTCTGGCATTGAAGCTATCATTTCATGCTCTAATCAAATTCAATTGAAATAGAATCCTCGGCGGCGAGCCTAGAATTGAAATATTTCTGAAATGTTCACCATAATACTGAAATATGAGAAAGGGTTGAATAATACTTGTAAATGGAACAAATGATTTTTCCAGCCTGGCACCTGAAAAACACCATTTTGTTGAAGCCACGCAGTGGAAATAGTATATTTCCGGACTGTTGGGAAGCCGAAGGCGCGGAGGCCAACCCCACGAGTAAAAAATCCCAATAGTCCGGATATTATTTTTCTGTAGTGATTTTCAAGTTTTCGAGTTTCGGAAGTATGTAGTACCAATTGCCAAACGAGAAATCGTGAGGAGCAGTACGGAAAACATTACCCTTCCCTCATGCGTGTCATTCTCGCGGTCGACTTGGACGTCAATGTTGCATGTGGCGAGACATGATCTGTTTTCCAGGACTAGGTCTAAAAATAACTATAATTTCACAGATACATAAATGCCTAATCAAAATTCAAGTCTGAAAAAGTTGCCTCATGCAGACAAACATTCATACAAACATATTCCTTCAAAAATTGCATTTTCCGACTTTTTCGGTCATAATGGCTTCAATATAGCACAACAAATACCAAATTTGAATTTTCACCATTGCAATATGCTTCGATTGATTCATTCATTAGAGATTCATTAGTGAAGAGCCCCTCAATTCAAATGCTCTCAAACAATAATTTTTCCAACTCCCTCAAGAAGACATCGAAACCAATTTTTTAATCCATCATTGAAACAAAAAAAATAATAAACTAATTGAATTTTAATTAATATATCGATGACTAGGGCTTAACAATGCTTACATATGAGAGAAAAATGATTGAATTTCACGGGTGCATTAATACCCGATCGGAGATGAAGTTAAGAATAATATTTTGCACACAGACTTACGGACGCGTACAGACGCTGTGTAAAAATTGCAAGAAAGCAAAAAAAAGAAAAATTTCGTCTTACATGGGACAATAATTGGGTTAATTAAATTTATGTAATGATGCGTATTTTATCCTATTCAATCATAGAAAGGAATTAATACAGAAGACATAATCTCTTGGTCTTATTCTTCGGAATGTTTCTTATATTTGTTCTGGGTAGGTCTTGGGAGCGAGGGAATTACCCGTCAAAGATGTAACTGGCAGTAGTGATCCTTACGTCAAAGTGCATCTCCTCCCAGACAGAAAGAAGAAATTTCAAACCAAAGTCCATCGGAAAAATCTGAATCCCATCTTCAACGAGACCTTCATCTTCAGGTAAAAATTTTTCTAAGATTATTACTTGAGACTTAATCATCTCCTCATAATATTCAAGAATTGCAAACAAAAATCGTTTTTTTTTTTCCATCGCAGTGTACCTTACGATGACTTGAGGGAAAGATATTTACAGTTTTCCGTCTACGATTTTGATCGATTCTCTCGGCACGACTTAATTGGACAAGTTGTACTTAAAGGGCTCTTGGATTGCACTACATTAGAGCAAGAAATTGAGTATACAATGGATATTCTCTGTGCGATGCAGGTATGTACCAAGTTCAATTCAGTCATCAAATCCATGAAACGATGCCGTTTCCATTAAATCACTCATAATTATGCAATTTAATTGCGAATGTAAAACGGTTATAGTTTTTGTTCAATGGCAGAATATTCAAGCGGACGCGGTGACACGAATAAAGAGACAATAGGCTACGAATAAATCGGATCCGCAAATCCAGTGAATAAGCTTTTACCTGAAAATCTGTGATAGTATTCATATAGAGAAAAAATTTACCTTATGAATAACAATTCTATAAATAGTTTGTTCCTTTACTAGGATTTCCATTAAACATTGTCTCTCACTGAAATGTAATTATTGCTAAAAACCAAGCATTTCAAATTTTTAGTTATTTAATTTCAAGGTATGATCTATCTAGTGATGCATAACTGATAATGTTTTAGGAAATTAGAGATAAATCAAACTAAAAGGATTTCAATAATCTATCGCTTTGAGAGATTATGAGCGTTAATGAGGCCTAATTCTGTGCTAAATTTGGGCGCATGAAATTTAACCTTTTTTTTTATCAAATTCCTCATGTTTTATCAGAAATATATTTAGAAATTATTCATCCGATTTTATTATCGTCTCCATTCAAACCATTCACCTCGATGTGATCTATCTCAACCAAATAAAACATGTCCAATTTTTTCCCGCAAAATTATCAATGCATTTTGATTTTTCACATTCTCACTAAAAATTGTTGTTATACCACACACTCTTTTCTAAAAATCGATATTTCAAGTCGAAATTCCGATTAAATTTCCACGTTGTACCAGACCATTTCGTATTATAATTAGCCTAAATTGGACGGTCAGTTTAAGGCTTGCTCAAACTTGCATTTAAATTCATTTTACTGAATACTCTAAAAACTGATCAATCGATTTTGATGTGATTGGTTTTTCAAAATTTTCGTCTCACTGCATTACATTCAATTATTATGTGGTTATATTTATTAATTACATTTCCACTTTTACAAATTATTTTTATTGCAAAGGTAATATCGTTTCCTTATTACTTCGTTTGCCGCAAAAAACGTAAACACCGCCCATCAATGTTAAGCGACAAAATTATAAATCGCAAATATCTGAAAAAAATTTAGATAAAATCTACAGTAATCTACATTACATTCTTCAAGAAGTTCAATTACATTCAATTATGTTCATCGTTATCCTTAATTATATTTTCATACGGAAAGTATCGTATTTCCCGGATAAAAATAGGAAAATCTGCTTACTCATGCTATTCGTGGCGGATATTTTTTATTTACAGGATTTTATACTGTAGTTTTTCCTTACAAAAAAAAACCGATTGAACCGAAACTATCGCCGTCGAAGGTTTCTGCAAAGTTCTTTATCAACGTGAAACAAAGTCATTCGTCGCCTGAATGAATTCTTTATGAAATTCAATTATGAAACTGACAATTTCTTGCGCCGAATCCAAAACTTCAGGTATAAATTGAAATCGAATTGAATGTGATAATCAGTTTGATTGCAAAATCATTTATTATGGACTCGACACTAAATTTTTTTCTCAGTCTAGCAACTTTAAAATCGGAAAAAAGAGCAGTGCGTTGTCCAGCGTACGAGCACCGAAGTATTACAAATATGTAAAGCTATTAATTATCCTTTCTAATATGAAGGAACTGAAAGAAAAAAGGAAAATGAGAAAAATCAGGCTGTTTGTTAAATCCTCCATAACAATAACAGGAAAACAGAAAGCGCAGAAATCATTCCAGTATATCGCTTCACACCCTAATAACTTTCCTTGACAAATAAAAGAGACATTCTAAGATATAATACCACAAACGAAATCAATAATTACAGGAAAAGGTGGATTTGGGTGAGTTGATGTTGACGCTCTGTTACCTACCGACTGCTGGACGTCTTACGGTGACAGTCATCAAAGCAAGAAATTTGAAAGCAATGGACATCACAGGTTCCTCAGGTTAATAATCAAATTTCGCATTATCACGTGTAAACATTACTCAAAGCAGTTCAGTAATGAAGTGATAATCACAGATAAGTCAATTTATCTCCGTTTACCACTTCACTTCTGAATTGAGAAAGTATTACAAACTGAAATATTATGCGCCAAAATTTTACAGACTAAAATATTGCCGAGCTAAATATTAATATAAAATTACACGCAACTATAAACCATGTGAAAATTATTTAGAAAGTTTTTTCATTAGATTTTACTTGATGTTTGGTTTTTTATAATAATTTCACCATGTTTAACTATTCATTATATTTAACGACTTCCTTCTCGCACATTAATCCATAAATAATTATAATTGCCATTAATAATGGATAATCATAATCAATAATGATTCATTATTTATTTATATAATTTATTGTGATAAATTTCACATTTTATTTCGTGTGATTATTCAGTGAAATATTTTGGCAATTAATACTTCGTCATCTTACCAAATTTCTCATCCAAGTAACCGATTGTTAACGTCCACTGACTAATGTAATAAATAACAATTACAGATCCGTATGTGAAAATATACCTTTTATGCCAGGGAAAGAGAATAAAAAAAAAGAAAACAACTGTGAAGAAGAATACGCTGTTTCCAGTGTATAACGAATCACTAGTATTTGATGTGCCAGCTGATAATGTCGAAGATGTTAGTCTCATAGTGAAAGTGATCGATTACGACAGGTAAAATGCAATGAATGAAAATTTTTCAATAAACATTCCTCCACCGAGCAATTTATTCTCCATGTTCAATGGGAATAAATGGCTGAATATATTTTGCAATTGGAGGAAAAGAAAAGGATTTTATTTACGTTGGAAATTTTTTTCACTTTGTCTCGCAGAATTGGCTCTAACGAATTGATGGGCTGCACGGCAGTAGGCGCTAGTTTCATTGGAATTGGTAGAGATCACTGGCTTGAGATGTTGGATAATCCGAGAAAACCAGTGGCACAGTGGTATCCATTAATGGAAACTGTGGCTGGTCACATTCCAACTGTGTCCTCAGAGCCGCTTCCTGTCAGCTTGAGTTGCTTGAACAGTAGGTGAGTTAACAGGAAATTACTTCGTTAGGTTCATTTTTTCTTATCTTCTCACCTAAATCTTATTTTCATTCCATCAATTTTGTTCGCAGTTCTCCTTTTTGGTCACGATTTTAGTTCATTTACATGGAGATACCGCCAGTTGATTTGTATTGTCTGTTACATTTTCTTATTTATTATTATAGTCATGAATTGAATAGAATTGATGTCATTGAAGTAAGGTCTGCAGGGAAATGAACGAGAGAGATAAACTGAATTGAAACTGGAGGGAATACCGAAATTTTTGTAATAACCTTTTGCGTAGTTCTTAGTTAGATCTACGATAAAAATGTTGATGCGAATATCATTATTTCCTTCAACCTCGCAAGTATTTCCGAAAAACTCATCGAACAGGCTAATTTTCAGACTAATTCCAATTATTATGGTCAACAATTCTGTTGTTTATATTTCACAGCGTAAATCACCACGAATGATTTTTAACCTGAACTGAATAATTGAAACATTCAATACCCGTCAATAATACTCTCGAACAAAATTCGGTAAATGTATAGTAAATTCATACCGTTTTTCAGTTCCAACTTCTCGTCGGTATTTTCACATCCCCGAATGCTTGTCGATTTTATTTAACTTTTTTTCTGGTTGTGGGATGGTTTCTCAACTTACTTGAACTTACTGCTCTTTGCGTTATCTAAGGCCATGACGTGGAAGTAGCGGTACGTCGACCCCATGGACAACACATGTTGTCACAGTTAAAGACATCAGATCCACAAAATGATGGATGATTCAGAAAGTCTTGTATGGATTCCTCAAACACCAAAACCTGGCTACACGGAGAGAAAAAATCGCTAACAATTATGTAATCCTTCCGTAATCGTGTTGTATTTTAGCTGTTCGGAGAAAATTACCATATCGCTTAGTAAAATTTCTCAACTGCGTAGTAACCATTACGTAGGCATTTGAGAAAAAATTACCTACAAATTGGGTGCATTTTGTCAAACGGTTAGACAACGTTTACTAAACAACTGATAAGTTCTACTAAACGGTACGACAATTTTTCTCGAATGACTAAAACACAACATGGTTACCTAACGGATAGGTCATTTTTACGGTCTTTTTCTCTCCGTGCCTAGCATTTCACCTCGACACCACCTGCTTCTGACTGAAACACAACGAGTGGTACATCACCGCTGCCCTTCCTCAGCTATTTAAATTTAATAAATTCAAATGAATTATCAACAATCTCTTCAACACACTTAATGATTGTCAAGGTTAATCATTTACCCAATTGCCGTTGTCATTTTCTTGTATTGATCTTTTCACGAGCTACTGCGGTCCTCCCACACTGATAGAAGGATTAGGTGGATGTTACACAGGCTCCGTAACTATTACTAAATGGTGCAGGTAAATAGTACCAACTGAATCGAGCAATAGCAGTTACAGAATGATTGAGTTGAGGCTAGGTTGGATCAACTGAATGATTATTTAATAGTTACGAAATGGATAGTTGGTACACTATGTACAGCGGAGATGTAGTATATCCCTCAAGGGGGTTTAGCCAAATCCCTGACCACCGAACGTTATTCTATTTTTTCCAATTGTGACCTCGGCCGGAAATACAGATTCAACTAAATCAGACCGAGGCGTGAATATTCGGGAATTTATTAATAGGTTACGGGCGGTCTTTGAAATGATAAGAGGGAGAGGAATTTGAATAATTAACTCGGGGGGATCCCGTGAGAGTAACTAACTACTAACTACTAACCACTAACTATATGTATTAATTCAAGTCTCATTACAATAAAAAAAAATACAAAAAGAATCCTGGCCCTTTAATAAGTGATTCGAGGAAGAGAGTGAACAGAAAGAGGGACGCTCTAACACTAAGAAGGAAAAAAGGAGAGGGGGGGGGGGGCTAGAGGGGGCCGAGTGTAAAAAAAATTATAACGAATAGGAGGCTTCCTACGCGAACACAAGAAAGCGATATTACTGAAGAGACCCACCGTTTGGGGTAATGAATAATAATATACGGGGACGAAAAAACTCTTTGGGACCGGGAATAAACGGGGGCACTTATGGGTAATGGCGTCTTCTGATTCCTCGTCCTTGTGGGATCTGCTCTTCTGGCTTTCTCTCCAATTCTCCGGCCGCAAATCCTCCACTTTAATCCTTCCCAACAATCGTCCCTTTCCACACAGTTCCTCTACACAATCCTTTCACTCCATACAATCCTTCCACTCCACACAGTTACTCCATAACAATCGTTCCTCTCCACACGGTTCCTCCACACCACTCTTTCCTTTTATCTCCACACGGTTCTTTCATAACACTCTTTCCTCTCCACCCAGTTCCTCCCCAACACTCTTTCTAATATCGTCTGACTACTCCTTCATACACTTCCTCTCGCTACTCTCTTCTCCACACTACTTCCCTTCGCACCAGACTTCCACTCATTTCTCTTCTCGATTCTCTCAATGTCCACATTTTCTCTTCACAATTTCTCCTCTCTCTAGAGCCCCCGCAGTACTAGTTATGGCATCTTTTTTCTCGATCTGCTTCTTCCCTGATTATCGGTGATAATGGGGGTTAGTTGGGGGCACTCGTCACTAAATTATTAGAGATTGGGTTACCCAACGGTGACGGGGTTTGTAGCCTAGACGTAACCTAAACGTAGTCTACGAAAGTGTATTAATTAAGGGGGGCAAATTACGTTGCCTCGTCATACTATATTTTACCTCTATATCCAAGCTGTACGTTAATGCAAATTTCAACCCTTTTATCGGGGGCTCCCAACGAGAAATTAATTTCTGAAAACCACTTACAGCAACATGTGTTGTCGATCCGCTTATGGGAGAATTGCGACGGCATGTATTTCGAACAAGTAACGGAAGGTGCGAATACTCAAACTTTTGATAAAAAAAACCCATTGCGATATTTTCAAAAATACATAGATTATATCGCCGACCAGAAAAATTATGGTAGCCTGCATAATAAGCGAGTTATGGGCTATTGACCGATACACGGCAGCTTTATGAGAGAAGCTATTATGAATTCAGCCTAAATCATGCGCGGATCATCTACCACACGGTGTTTGCAGCATCTACCTTCATAGCGTTATCAATTTTCGGCCATCTTAGACGCCCATAAAAATTTATCATTACAATCTTCGAAGTTTTTACGAGTTATATTTTTACCCGAACGTTATATGTGGTGTGATTATTAAGGAGGATCATCGCCTTTTACGAAAATGCCTGATTCTGGGTGTGGTGGATACAGTGACGAGAAGAAAGGTTCGTAACAGAGAGAGCAGAGAGACAGCAAGATTAGTGGCTACAGCTAGAATAGGCATTATGGTAGATCAAGAAGTTTTGGTTAGGTCGATTACGAAGAGTCTTCTGAGGACAAAGAACCACGTCAACCCCCTTCGAAGAAGCACCGCCCGGCGAACAGATGAAATTCTTCTCATCACTCGTTTTGGATCAGAATGTCCATAGACCCTCTGGCATCCCGTCACGAACTGCTCCCACGGAACCGTTTCTACATAGCCCTGTAACGGCGTCTAACACTCTTGATCTTGGCAGCATCAAAACAGAAGTTTACGAAACGTACTGTCTCCGACCAAGCAATGAGGCACATCTGAAAATCTTCAGCGACCTTGAAGCATTTGGTTCATCAAGCTGGGAAGAGGTTAAATATGCTAGTGCTCTAGAAAACTTCTCAGGTTCGTTAGTGAAGACAGAGCTCACCTAATGGCTCGGTGCACCAAAGAATTACTCCGACGAGGACATTCGGGATGACGGATCTCGAGCAATGCAGAGCATAAGTCGACGGTGTCCTTGGTGTCCTCTGTTTCGGTAGTTCGACGTTTTCCATAACTTCGAATTTTATGGTTGGTCAGGTATTGAAAGCAATCTCGACGGTCCGTCTCAAGCAATCCAAAACTGATATATGGGATGCCCGGCTCTTAGTTGATTGGTGGAAAACGGAACGTGCCAGCTTATGACTCTTCGAATTGTCCAGTAGAACTGCTCGTCCGGATATCGGGGCGTTGTATTCACGTCCTTACATTGCTGAAAATTTCAAAGGATTGCGTCGTAAGCGGAGGGGATAAGTTTATACTGTGGTCCGCCTGCAGAGTGAAAATCGACCACGACAAATTTCGGCAGTCAGGTTGGAGTGAATGGCATCGAATGAATGGCATGTTAGACTTTCCTCCGATAAGGGTCCAAAGGCATAGTGGTTTAGGTAGAAACCGCGATGCTTATCGGCCCTAAGGACGTTGGTGGACTTTCGCTTAGTTGGAGCTTCCCTAGAATGCGATAGAGAGTATTGGGGCTAACGTGCAGGCCATCCAATGAGGCAACTCCAATGCGTTTACCAACTGAGACTAGAGAAATCTCATGTCTCCCTTTGGAGCATGTAGTGACGACTTTGTGTCTCTGAGGTGCATCTGGCTCGGGAAGAAAGGGATGACGGCGTATGGCCCGTGGGTCTGGAATCGAACGGGCTCCTATCGATCCGATATCGGTCGCCATTTCGAGTAACCCGAGCTCGTCGCTCGAAACGAAAGGACATAACTGGTGACTGTGGGTTGCCGAGAGGTGAATGGGGAGAGATTTCCCTTGGTCGGATCAGTCTCTCAACGTCCCAGGTCCTGAGGGATCCCGGCAGAGTCATAGACGAGTATGATCTGGCCCCAGGTCGAAATACCCGAGAGCAGAAGGATTGCTCCGAAAGGCCTGGAAAGGCCTCCCAGAGAACGAAAGTGCGAGTAATGGTGCCTAAGGCCGGGAAGCATCTGGGTTTCTCCAGGTTGGACCACCCCCACGCTACCAGCATCAGACTGAGGCCAGCTAGGGCATGTGGCATGTAGCCGCAAAGACGCTGAAAGCCGGTTTTGTCAGACCTTCCGAACAGATCTGGCTGGCATCCGACATAATCAGAGGCATAGACATTGCTCGTAAGGGACCACTTTCCTGGCTGAAATACCCTGAGAAAATACCCTTCCAAATATAACTACGTTCATTTATCTTCATTCATTAAGATTGGTGATATTTGCATTGTTTTTATTTTAACGTTATTCCATCATTTCTAATTCACATATCCTTTCTAGAGTAGCCAGCAGAAAACAAACAGGTCTCTCATAAGGATGCCAGGTTTCGGTTAATAACACATAATATTCGTGTTTTGAATTACAACAAAACACTTGTTATGGGCGGAAACTGATACACGGCATCCTGGCGAGTATCTTGCTGACCGAGAGTATCTATGAAGTTAGACACTGTAAACACTGTATACTAGGCAGCCCGCGCATGCTTAAAAGGCGCGCGGAGAGGGGAAGAAAGGGGGGGAAGAAAAGAAATACACGGCATCCTGGCGAGTATCTTGCTGACCGAGAGTATCTATGAAGTTAGACACTGTAAACACTGTATACTAGGCAGCCCGCGCATGCTTAAAAGGCGCGCGGAGAGGGGAAGAAAGGGTAATTTAAGCCGAATTCACAAAAGCTAGTCTCATAAGGATACCGTGTACCGACTGCCACACATAACTAGTGTCTTGTGTAATTCAAAGACTAATGAAATTTGTGATTGATTTTTAAAAGATCTGAAAAAAGGCGCCGGCATTACGTTTTTAGAATATTGACAAAGCTGCTTCTATAGCTAAGCGATGTCGCTAAGGTAGATGACGATGAAACAGTTATAACAGAACACCTTGCTATTTATATTTGCACACCGTGCAAATTAATACAAAATAAGCAGAGGTTGTGAGCATGTCCTCGAGTGATTTCTTCAATCTTTCATTACCATCAATGAATTGATGGTAATACCATACCATAAGAGAGCTAGAATGAAACTGTGGAACGGAACGAAATTGCCGCGTTTGCATTTTCATTCCGTGGAACGCGTAAGGAGCGAAACGAAACCCGGAACGGAATTCCGGGAATATTACAGCGCGGAATGAAAATCAGAACGAAAGTCGTGGAACGATTCTCACTTATAGGTCGATATTTGGAACGAAAATCTTGGAGCGTTCCTACTTGAAACCAAACCCAAAATGAAAATCTTGGCAGGTTCCAGCTTGGAACGGAATTCGCTTCCAGCATGGAACATAACAGCTTGGAATCAAAGCAATAAAAAATTCTCGCTTGGAACGATGATTTTTTCTCCTTCAAATTACACACCGTATTACTCTCCTCAAAATTAGTTCGATTTTTCCCCTAAGTTTTGAATTTTCAAGGAGAACATGTTCTGAAATTTCGCTGCGGTTGATAAACGGTGGCAATTTTCAGAATTAGGCCTAAAAATTTAGACCAACATTCAACACTGCGGGGAAATGAGGTGTCAAAATTTGCCGGTTTTCGGCGAAATCCGAAGGAAAAAGCTGATTTACCAATAATTCTATCTAGAACTATCTGAATTATGAGAAAATGTGGAAGTACTTGCAATTTGTAGAATGATGTAAAGTTTACTAAAAAAATTTGACTGAATTTTTTTATTTTCTGAATAGAAAAATAATTCTCTACTAATTTTTCGTGATCCAATAACCATCCTTTGGAAGGATATATTCTAAAGAATATTTCAGTATAATATTTGTCCTCAACAGGATAAAAATTGACAGCATGGGAGATTAAAAATTATCACATATGTGGTGAGTTTTTATGATTTTCGGGGCAAAAATTACTGTTCCGTCAGGGTAAAAAATATTGACCTTACCTAGAACATCTTTATCATAACACCACGCGGGTCAAGGATAACATTTCTGTAAACAGTAAATAATTATTTGCTCAACTTCTAAGGCACGTATTTGGACGTATTTACACGAGATTTGAAAATAAAATTGTGTAAAACAGAAAATTAAAAATTAACAACACTGGACAGAAATGAGAAGAACACTCATGGAAAATAGCAGTGCGAGACGTGAAATCATGTACGTGTTCGACGTTTTTATTGTAAATCCTTTTCCTTTTCATTCTGTTTCTGAAATTCATAAATTTTATGACATGGTGCCTTCATTGAGATTTTTTGTTTTTATTTTTATACTCTGAATGTTTATACAATCATTTTTTTAAAAGTAAGTTATACTATTGACCATCAGAAATTGCAGTTATACTGTTTAAGAAAACCCGTTCACTATCCTCAGATTATTGTCAAGCTAGGTTCAGTGAAACTATGGAATGGGACACCCGTAAAAATCCGAAAGGGTATAGGATAAGGAAAAGAATATTAATGCTAATCGCTTCCACTGACAACAACAAAGGGTTCATCCAAGTAAATCGTTAGTAGATTGGTACAATTTTTCGAGTTGATCCCAATCTGGTAAAGACGTGATTTTTTGTCCAGAAAGCACCACCTAACCCTGAGGACTACCATGAAAGTCTTTTTATGGATCGTAATCGAAAAAACACCCTGTGGTAGGATAACACATAAGGCACCGACCCTGGTATTATCATATTACCGAGTAAGGTATGGGTTTCAAGCGTACAACTGGGCTTATTGGTTTCGCCTATCTAACAATAGCCTACTCGCAAGGATAGCAACGTGAATGTTTAGCCTCATTTTTTTATCCTTACTCATATCAAAATTGACTTTTTGTCACTTGGCTCAACCTAACCTCGACTCTCATCGTATTATATAATTGTATTTATGCCATCGGGCCCGATTCCGGGCGCGATGACAGATAATTTTGTATGAAATGCGTCCGTAGTATATTTTTCGACTCGCAGGATTGTAAAACTCGGCTTCGGCTCGTGTTACAAACCCGACACAAGTCAAAAAATATATTACGCAGGTGTTGCATAATATACTATTATAGATATAGATAGGCAAGCTATGCAAGACCGACGTTGGTAGCTCAGTGGCTAGGTGCGAGCATAGTGTTCTGAAAGTTGTAGGTTCGATTCCCCGTTGAATCGAATTTTTCAACAGACGCCGATCAGGTTGGTAATATAGCAACCGCCTGTATTGACATGGTTTTTCCTGTGGTTTCCCATGTCATTCCTATTCTATAGGAGCGTGCATACGGCACAGTGAAGGATCCACAACCGCATACATAGGGTGGGATAGGGCCAATTAGCCAAAAAGGGAGACAGAAAGGGCCGAAATATAAGAAAAAAAAGGTGCACAAGAGCCATAGCACTAGTGCTTAAACATCATTACCTCGACTAGAAATTGATCAGTTCGATTTTGATTTCACGTGGGAACGGGGTTTTAAAGCAGAGCAATGATTTTCGTCCATAAATTAGAGTTCCATAATTCGTTTCCTATACTCACCTCCCATTTGCTATTTCATTTGATTTGTTTGTCGTCACATTGAATATTCCCGATATCCTACTTACAGTTATATTTACCTGTTAAATAATTTAATGAGTCATTCAGAAACTCTTAAAATTTAATTTTATGAAAAAATCCTCTATTCGGCAAAATACGCAGAATGCAGGGAAGATGGGATGAATGAGGAGGTTCAGTGGGAGACGAAAAGAAAGAATCGATCATAAGAAGTCATTATTTGACATTTCCTCAAGTTTTTCCTGAATTTTATAACACTTAACTGCAAAAAATGTTAAACTCATATAAGTCGTAATGTTTCCTTTTAAAAATTTCCGAGTTTTTTTTTCTGAAGTGGAATTTAAAGTTAGATGCTATGTTTTTCAAGACTGCTGAAAAATGAAAACGTAAAAAAAAACAACAGTATAATTACAAGAAGCACCACAGGGACACTTTTAGACTGTCTCCAACATTTTTTGGCGAAAAAAAAGTTAAAAAAATACCCAGGATCAGTTGAATTTGTAATCTCGGCAACTTCCAAGTAGAGCTTTGTATTATTAAATAAAAGAGCTTTTTATACAGACGTCTTCTTCCCTCCTGAGCTCATTGAATTGAATCTGGTTGTACCTAAGTTGAAAAATTAATGAAAATTTTCGGCGGAAGTGTACTAGACAGTTATGAACAAAAGCGTAATTTAGCATGTAAACCGGAATACACCTGACAATGAATTGATAATTACAGATGAAGCTGGGGTGATTGAAGTCGCTAATTTGCGAGAACCCGCCACTGACTTTGTTGACGTGGAACTTTCGAGGAAACAAAAACTCGTCCCCACCTGTAATTCTATGCACAAGCTTAGAATGACGTTGAGAAAATGAAAACTACAAGGCTCCCTCTTCAAAGCGAAGAAGAATCATCCCCTCATTTCTCCATCTCATTCCTCTTTCTACCTCTGTTCCAATTTAATTATCTACAATACTCGTACCATCCTTGGCCGACAGGCGTGAAACAGTAAATGCTGCAGATAAAAGCCGCAGACATTGGTGCATAATGAAAAGACGTTGAAAATACTACACAGGGGACTTGTGACATCTGCGTGACGCAGAACTCCAACTATATTTTTTAAATATGACACGAGACAATATTTTTCAATTTATTGCCTCGTTATATGTTCGATAAATATTCTCAACGTCAAATTAGAAAGAAAGGTTAAATGAATAATGAAAGTGGTAATGATTTGAATTTTTCATTATAAAAAGAGCCCCTCGAGGTTGAAAAAATGACAAATACAATATTTCTTGTACAATCCCGCGCGCAGTATTATATTAGAGATGCAGAAGGGCCTTATTTTTGGAATAGAACGAACGTGAATACAGCGAATGATTAAAAAATATCCGAGAATACCTTGATATATACCATACCAAGTGGAATATTACAATTGACGATGAGAAAATACAAATAGAGTTAGTCATTAGTTTTGTGTACTATGTAGTTGTAATTGAAGAAAATACAAGTGAGAAGTCCTGAGATGCATTGAATTTGAGAATTTGATGCATTTGAAATGCATAGTAGATACATAGTAGTAATATTAATTTTAAATCTAAGAAATGAATACAGTTCGAAGCTATATAGGGAAAGGTGAAATTCAAGAGATTTTTAATGTTCTTCGTCGGAATTACAAACTGCAGACGTTAAAATTACTATCCATTTAATCGTGCCAAATATGTGCTGATGAATAACTATTTCTTTGAGAGATGTTTTGAAAGTGGTTCATTCACAAATAAAATTTTTCAGTATATCCTTCAATCACATACAAAGAAATATTCAGTAAAAATTATGGAACAACTGACGCAATTCGAAAGAAGAAATCGTTTTCCCGCAATTTTATAAAAATGAGAGAAAATAAATGTGACAGGTTCAGTAATTTATCAAGTTTACCACTCAAAGGAGCTAGAAATTTTTACATAATTTTACCTGTCAACGCTTCAACTAAAATCATGCAGGAAATTCTTCATTTTTTATGCTTCAAAAATAAAAAATTCATGGATGTCCGACAATTTTTATGAGACTGATGTACTGCTTGTTGTTCTTTTCCGTGAAATTTATTAATCCTTTTGAAGAAATCACGAACCGACGTATCCCCACGACATCGAGGAGTTATCACACTGCTGGATAATTTTTACGGAACCGATCCTAGAATTCACGAGACGGTTCCTACAATTTCTTTTCCAACTGACATTTTTTGTTTAACATCACTCGTCTCGTGGATTGCAGTTCGAACGTCATTTTTATATTTTTTTCCGGTAACGTTTATGGTTTTTTTTCCTCCATGCATTTAATTTGAAGGCAAACGCAGGGGTGACATCCGTTGATTCCATTTTTGAATAATGACAACTTTTCAATAATTCCTAGAAAGAATTCAAGCAGTCAATTTTCAGTAGCAAGGACATATAATAAGATGAACATCTCGTCACTGAAAAGTTATTCATTAAATCTTACCATCGTCATACTCTACACTTTCAATTCTATCCGAGTTCCTTCAAAAGTACCAACATAACACTTAGATTTCGTATGAATAATCGCAGAGTAAATCATCATAATAATTTCATAATACAAGGCCTTGGCCTTGGGGTTATTCTTTTTTAGAGGTCTTTGTTTTTAAATTATTTGTTCTCCAGAAATGCTTATTTCATTCATAATTAAACGGATAAATTCAAGTTATACCTGAATATAGCCGCAATTTTCAATTCAGCACCTAAAAATATTTATACACATCTATAATTGCCAACAATCATTACCAACATGTAACTGCATACATTGAATAATGTGATCATCCTATCAGACATGTTAAATTTTTAATTATTGCTTCAGTTAAAACTTGAATGTCACTTGACTGTTGTAAAAGAGATCAACCGCCGCACAACATCAATTACTTTCCTTGGCATCTATGAGTCACTATTCATTACCGTTAATTGCAATGCTTATCAATTGAAATAATTGATGGGCTTATGAAACGGTCAAAATGATTAAAACGTGGTTGCTGAGATTTATTGTGAAGTGAGTGAACGATGCGAATTGGTTCAGAAATAAAAGATGAAGATATTCTTTTCTAATTGATTTTGCTACGACAAATGAAAAATCATTCTAATACGATACACTATTTTTTCTCGCGTTAGTATTAAATTTTCATAAATTACAAGAATATTCAATTTATTCGGTGATTATTGTTTGTTAAATGGTACATCAAAATGAATAGCTTAACGCACATCATCAAACCGTAAAGTTTGCTCAGCAGTTTGTAATTTCAAAGGAACGTCATGAATATTTATGGATTTTCTAAAATTCATGCATGGTGTACGAAGGACTTCTTCACTCCCTATACCAATGTAGACCAATATATTCCAATTAAGATATAAGAAGAATCCTTAAAAAGTAACTAGCATTTGTATTGAGATGAAAAATTGAACTGCGTAAGGGATGAAGCATTCGTCCCCCATTGAGGATGGGAAACGAAAAATTATGACAGACACAGGTGAAGAATGAATAGATGAGAGATGATGAATGCTTGATGCATAGAAATGTAGTCAATAATCCGGACAGAAACATAACCGTTACTCTCTCATGGTGGTTTTTTCGAGGTGGCATTAACTCTGGTGCATCTGGTATATGCATTTAACAGAAACAAAGAAGAAGTAATATAAATGTATAAAAATATATGCAAATACATATTTTATGTATGTAACACATAAAAGCCCTGGTGGCCCTACTTGTGATAATGTATGGACACGAAAATAACGATTTTACATATTCGAGTTATAAGTTGAGAACATATAACCAACCGGAGGAATTGTAGGGTAAATGTCTAGTTCAGGTCCACCAAACCATTTTGGATGTTTTTTCTTTAGTTGGAAGAGTTTCCATCACCTGATTAAGGATCTGGTCAATGGTTTTATCCGGAAACAATTAGTGTGGGAGATTTGACATTCAATACACCGCTCTCTGAATTATCCAGAGCAACGGCGAGGACGTGGTGGTGTATCTGCCCCAAAGACACCACATGTTAGCAGATTTAAAGACAATGGACACACAGAAAGATGGATTTATTTAATAGTCCTGAGCACTTCACTAAAACTCTGAATTTACCTCTCCCGACCATCTACAATCGCTGAACGAACACCACGAGTGACTTATCCGCCGCTACCCTTCTGTAGCTATTCAAATATGAATTAAATATCACTCACTCGTCGCGTCAATAGCGACAGCAGAGGGAAGGGGTTTAAGGAATTTCAGGGACAACAGAGTTTACCTCAGGACTATTTATCGATGTATTTCCCTCCTTATTGTTTCTCTCTCTTCTTTCGTCTTGTTATTGACTAGTGAGAGAATAGGAACGGTTTTTATCCAAAGAAATTCACATTTCAATGATTTTTGTTTTTTGGTGGACCTAAACCACACATTTACCAGTAGTAAAATTTATCATTTATGCATGATGCGTGTAGAAGCAACCCTGAGTGAAATTACCGAGGGTATTTTATTGTATTCGTTTTTCGTTTCTGGCCAAATGCAGTTATATCCAATTACTCCGCTTAAAGCATTATCAGATCGAATATAACATGAAAGATAACTCAATATGCTGGTAAACTCGAATATTCGATTGTGAACACGATAACAATAACGTAATATATATATGCTGAATAACATATAATATGATATTTTAGGAGTTTATGATACTGGATTTACAGAAGTGCGGTTACACTTGTTATGTGAAATGTTATCATAGTTTTCAGCGTGCTCATTTTAGCCATCTTTTATACTTTTCTATTATATGAATTGTGTACTCTTGCACTCCAATCTTTAGTTTAATTACTTGCAATAGCACACGAGCTTAACAATTATCGGATATATCTCGATACGTTTGTTGCCAACGAAGGGAGGAATCAAGTTTCTCAAGTTAAGTATAAGTAGCGAAACGGTACAACAGTCTAGGTCCATTTTTGCCGAAAGTGAATTTATCACTGAAATCGACTCGCGAGGGTATAACGCACCTCGCACAGAAACGCTTCAAGCCTCAAATTATATCTAATCATCTTTTCTTTGTAATAAAATGGAATGGGTTGAATTGCAAATCCAAGATATATCTAACTCGATATATCTAGCTTTGTCGAAACAAACCACTAATTAATAATGTAAATGAGCTTAGTCGACATAGCTCTCCTTACTAAAAACCAAAAGAGAAATGAGTTATCTTTTGCTAAATTCATTGACTTGATGACTTGACTTGAAACATAATGCGAGCAAAGTTGCCCGATTTGGAGAAATAAATGGCTACAGCAGGTGCAACTGTTGGTATAAAGCATTGACCCAAAAGCAAATAACATTCCGTAATTAGTTTGAACAAATTCATAAGGGAAGAACAATAATCAGTTGGTCGGCACTCCTGTAAAATTAACTTTTTTCTACTGGAACCGTTTTGCCGCTTCAAATCTGAAATGATTTTTCCTGAAAAGCTTAACAAATTCAGTTGTATGCAAATATTTGATAAATTTTTTAAGATGTCGTTTATTCAGACGATTATTTTTCCAATCTAAACGACAATTAATAGAAATGCGCCATGAGACGAAACTCTAAATGAAAAAATGAAAAATTCATGATGAAAGATGTTCACTCTTTCCGCTAAATTCACATTTTTTTTCATCTTTCTGGGAAACGTACAATGGGATTGATGTGACAAAATATTACGTTTTGGCATTTTGTCATTATTAAAGTACTTACGAAATCTCAAGGAAGTGCGAACATTTTCCAGTGGTTTTTATAAACTTTTAATTAAATCGCGAGAGACGCGAAGAATTTTTCTACTATACAGCACAACACAACACATTCATTTGTTGGCAACGAACCTATCGAGAACCGATAATTTCAGATTTTTCAGAGCTCTCGTGGTCTTATAAGTGATTATTTTTCACGTACGGATTTTGGTCAGTGAGAGTGCAGTGTTTGGAGCTGTAATGCAATTGTATAGTGACATTAACCATCAAGTACTGCACCCTGACTAATCGAAACCCGTTAAAAATAATCAGTAGATATTTTTCGCAATTAATTTCTGAATGCTTTTCCCGGATATGGTATTTCGAATTGGAAATTTTGGTGTCACATTTCGGGATGATATTCGATAGCAGTGGTAAAACGAGGTGAATTGATGTTATTCCGAATAGAGAGGGAACGATATTCGAGAGGAAACGAGACCTGAGTGAACAACAATCAGATCTAAAATTTCAGAATAATGATTATTTGGTAATCAGTGGATATAAGTCCTCCATAAAATTTCTCTATGAAACAAAATTAATTCACCAACTAATACAATAATCAAGCAGCATGAAGAATAAAATTGAGTCAGACTCAATTAGGTGAGGAATAACTTGAATGGGGAGATAACATCATATATGGTCTTTATGTCTATGTTTACTTTTATTGCCCTAGGGAGGTAAGTAGCCTATATTGCCTTTTTTTGTACTTACCTCCCTGAGACAATAAAGATACTCGGTTAGTCGGGCCTCGTAACATAATCTAATATATACACAGTCTGAAAAGTATTTTGGAAACGTATTAGCATAAATCAGTCCTTCAGTTCCGAAATATTTGCTAAGAACTGGCCTCTAAAACTATGCACCTATCCTAGTTTACTATTTCGCAACAGAATTCAACGGAAGTAATTTAATGAAACCAGGTTTTGACACAATTACAGTTAATTCCCAGAAATTAGGAACAAAAAAGATAATATTTTTCTTAGTTTTTGGGAAAAAATTTGGAGGAAATATGAGCATTGATTATCAATTATGTTATGCATACCTCGAGAGCTACTGAATTTTAACGAAATTCTCAGAATTCGGCCACGAATTTCCTCATGTTAATGAATCTGAATGGAAGTCACTAGCTCGTTCTACTCTGCCCTATTGAATTTTACAGTATATTACCAGTTGCTCCGGGCCCTGTTAACTATTAGTTATTTAAACTTATTTTAATATCAGTTTTACCAGTCAATGGTTTTTTTAAAAACTGAGTTTGATTCAATCGGACCAGTGAAGGCGATGGAGTAGGCCTTGAATTAGCAGAATCAATATGTTATTAACCAAAAGATATAAAAGTAAAAATAATAGAATACCGAAATCTGAAGTTATTTTAATGATTAATAAATGTAGACACTTTTGGCATATCAAAAACCCTTGGAAGAACTTTAAAAGAAACAATCATGCTAATGTTTATTTGACTGGATATTTTGTTATTTGAAGTCTACTCTAATCTCATGAATAAAAACATGCAATTATCCTATAATCGATTGGAGTTGGAAATGCATCATAATGAAATCTTAAAAAGGAACATAATTTTCTAATGCATACATATCTATCATATGTTTTAGGCATACAATGCCACATTGTGATTGTACGAAACAAGAATAAAGGATCCAATTAACGCCACAATTCGCAATGAAATTACATACCATTCATTAATAAACTGCTCTAGAATATTGAAGGAAAAAAAAATGAAACAATAACCCTTTATGTGTAATCTAAGATGAAATGAAAATAAAATTGGCTACAACATCAAATGTACTTTGCGTTTATTATTTTTTCTCTATGTATCTTTACATAATTATTCTACCTTACAATACGATAATACAACTTGCCCATTATATTACTTCTATATTTTTAATTTCGAATCATTACGATACAACTCTAAGTATAAAATAAGCAATAGAGCTTATATTTAGGTAAGTAGCAACGATTTAAGTAACTATTCGCATTTTTTCAAGTCCTTCCCTTTACTTTTTTCTATTCATCTATTTAGTTTTGTAAAAGTGGCGGTGAGCTTCGTAATCATATTTGTCTTCCCCTTTGTCCGTCGATGAAGATGAACGATGGGAAAATGCGATTTTTTATTGAAAATTATTGAATCATTAAAATGCAGTGCAAGAATTATTCAAATATTAAAACCTACCTTTGCTAGACTAGGAGAAACAGATAATGGAATGAAATTTTTAAATTCATGGGAGATTAGGCCACTCGAACGACTACAGCTCTCATGAGTCTTTCTACAAGGAATGGAATTTATCTCTTATATGGAATAAAATAATCTACACGTGGTAACAAGTTACAATATTATGGTAATGACTAATTATCGAGCAGCCTACTGGTCGAATTCTTTACATGTCACTAATTCGCGGGCGGTAAAAAATCTAAAGCAATCGTTATTTTCTTTTCGAATGTTGAGTTTGTTTTCTTTCAATTTAAGTTATCGAGTTTCGTATGAAAACAAATTGCAGCATTTAATGTCAGCTGAATTGTCTCTCTAATCATATTTATATTAACCATTTTTTTCATTCTAAATTTTGCCAATGAAATTTATTTATTACAAAGCTAATAGGATTATTTTCAGCATTATATTTTCATTAAATATTTTTCACTCTTGTTTCATGTACCTATTATTCGATTCTCAAAGCTTCGAGATAATTAAATTGATTGTTGATACACTTTAAAATGGTTCTGAAGAAGTGGGAGGGTTCAATTAATTACAAAATGCCAATGAATTTGCCCAATTAAAACATTACACAGCTCATACACATTTTGTATTTCAATGATTCTTTTCAAATGATGCCCAATATTAATGGTGGGCAATTGTGATTACTCCACACGTGAACATTAATGCGCATACTCATAGAATATACAAATCTAGCCCATCCACTCGGATTTCACCTGTCAACATTAAATTTACGTCGCATTTTTTAAATTTATTCAATGATTCGTAAGTTGTCTTCATCTTTCCCACAATTCTATGTCGTAATAATATAGGCGAACTCTTGTAGCATTGTACTTAGCGTTATTTAAAATAGCATTATTTCATAATCGATACTTTTTTTTATTTTCCCCATTTTTCATTTCGAGTTTCGGACAGAAATTGATTTGAGTTTGCAATTATAGTTTTTCACTTAATGGAGGGAATTTGCTAAGAACATTTTGCCTTTGATAAAATTTGACAGCATTCTTACATTGACTATAAAAGAATTGTAAAAAATTTTCGCTGGCGAGGGGAATTTTTTCCAGGAATTTAGCCCTCATTCATTTACTAACATATAGAATATGTATTTGGAGCAATGACTTTTTCAAGTCTTTTGGTACTTTGTAATGCCAATTTGGTGGTAATTTTGGATTAAATGCCATTGGAATGTAACGGAATATTACATCAACGGTACTGAAGAAAATTTCTGTTCTCCTAATAAATAATAATAAAAGTAATCAGCCTACCGCCGGTTCCTTTTAATTATCATTTCTTTCCAGTATTTATATCTATTTTTACGAATTATCAACAAATAATTACTCGAGAAGCGCGAACGACGAGTATCTTACAACGACACCACGAATTTCACATTCCTGCCATTAAATCCTACAATATTGCTACACTGTGCAATATATTAAACACATAACCACTAATTCCATCCGTTGATTTTTTTCACATTTTGTTTATGGTAATCATTAATTTTTATGTATATTAGCCTGTTTCATCAATTTTCATTTGACTAGTTAGAGGGTGCAATGACGATAAAAGAAAACATAAAATTCCATTACAATTATTAATTTAGAGCACACACTGAATTAAATTTCAACGAAATTTCAAAATTAACTAAGTGATTGATGAATTGATTGATTGATTGACAAAATTTATTAACCACTACAGTTAATTAATTTACTCATGTACATTGATGCATGTTGCAATGTTCTCTCTTTTTATTCTCACCGACTTCCTCAAGCTCACAACTATAACGCATAATTATTTTGTCTCAAATTCAATTTGCTTGGTAATACTTGACCTAATTGCCTAGTCATTGATGTTAATTTTCTTAATGTTTTTACAATACAAAAAGCGAACGTTAATCGACACCGATCGAAGTGTCGCGGACAATTTCATTTATTAATACAGCTACTTATCCAATGTCTTCTTCTTTATAATTCACTCATGCCGACAATAAAATATTGATAATTTTTATAAAGCATGTGCCGTCCTATTGTGAGAGGGGATAATTATCTCACAAATTTAAATACTCGATTGCGTACGCCAATTATATTACATGTCCCCAAAAATGCACCTATCTTCTTGCCTGTTTTATACACTCATATATATATATTCATTATTTATATATTTCTGTTATTTATATGTATACATTAGTATTTATAATCGGCGTATGTATATAAGCAACATGTAATTCATTTACTTTGCAATGTCGAAGAGGGAATAAAAACTTTCAGTTTATTTTATTCTCTCATTGTTATTTTTATTTTTACAGCAAACTCACCGGGATGGAGGGGCTGTTACATACCAGGGTGGTCATTTATTTCTTTCAGGTGCTGTAATAGGTTTAAGTACATTTTTTTTAAGGATCGATTGATTTTTTTCCTCTCGTCTCTCTTGATTTTTAAGTACAATTTGCGAAATATGCGAAAATATCAAGAAATATTCTCACAAAGTTAAGCTGGACGGCTCTGATGAAATTAGGAGTTTATTTAGAAGGACGTGACAATATTTTTTTCGCGGCCACTGAGAAAAAATGGCATTTTTCTAATTCAGGGCATTATCTTCCATTTTTCCATAAACACGATTGATTTTTATCGGAGACCTTTCCTCATCGTCGGACAACGGTGGCACGAAAGCCGTGGATTTTTAATTGTTTATCTTTACGCGCAGTAAATGTAACAATCGCGCGATAATTACAGAATGTGAACGCGATATTTTTTTGTCGATTTTCCAACCTTTTCACTTCTTGTTATAAGATATTTTTGTATAACATTGAGATTATCAATTATTTACACAGAAAATTACAACGTAAACAATATATATTATGTATAGCGTCAACCCCACGTATATGCATTAAGACACAAAAATAAGTCCACACGCCATTCTGGTATTGTTACTGTTTTTTACCACTTTTTATCATATTTGCTTTAAGAATTTGACTTTTGCAATTCATGTTGATTAAACGTACCACTTCTCGCAAATTTTTCGGGAAAAGATAATTATTTCTCTTTAATTGACTAGCGTTTCTGTGCTATTACAGAATGCAGCTCATAGACAGATATCAAGCATTTATCGATGGGCAATTATTGATCAATTATTGAGAACAATTTCCATTCACCAGGAGTCAATTTTTCAAAGAAATTGGGGGCTTCAGCTCCCTTGGAGTTTAATCTAAACGCCTATTTTCTAAGTACTTCATTGCCAAATGTTCGACAATACAAAAAATGTATGTTTTTAATAAGTACTGTTTAATTGTCTACTTACGCTAATTTTGCCAACAATTCGTTCCGTCAATACTCTCATATATGATCAATATTCCCCCGAACATCTCCATCTCGTATTATATCATGATTTAAGTACAAATTCATCGATTATGCAGCTTTTAACTTTCCATGATGTCGTTACATTATGTTTTATTATTTACTCAGTTTTTCTGCTCTGGTGAATCATTCAATAGCGGACGAATAGGCAACCGTAATTTCAGTATCTCTGTTGAAATTCGTGATGCCATCTGTTAAAATCGATGTGAAATATGACGATTGAACCATTTGCTAAACCAGCCAGTAAGAATCTGTAAATAACATAAATTCGGTTAAAAACAATGAAATAATAAAGCGTAAATATTTGATTATAGATTACTTTTTGCTAGGACTCCCAGAAACTGCATTTTACAATAATAATCAAATTTTGTTACAAAAAAACATGAACCGAAATAACTTTTAGACAGAACAAGTTTTATTTCAGATGTCCGTTTTTTTTAAATTTACCCCACAAGAAGTTTTCTCATTTATTTATCATTTTTAACTATTTCTCGCTACTTTCGTATGATAATACATCTTAGTAATAATTATATATATTTGTGGAATACAATAGAACATCAATATATTAATACACTCACAGAATAAATTATGGAGTGATAAAATTTTAGTGGAAATAAGTTTAATATCGATTTTTTTGTCAGTCGAAAAATGGGTCGATTATGTAATTTTTTCCATTAAATCATTTGCATTTATTTTAATATAGGTATTCCTCCGCAAAGATATTTTGCTCATGCATAATTTTGGAGGATTATTATTTTTTTTTTGCCAAATTAATTTTTTCAAACATGACCGTGTCGGAATTTTGTATTGAACGATCTTCAGACGTGGAATTCTAAGAAAGATGCAAAATCTTCCGTATTTATTTTTTTTGTTAACTAGCGTATATGGCGCGCTATGTGCGCCAAATCGTCCACGTATGGGGTGTTATCATTGGAATATATATATATATATCCACGGTTATTTCCAATATACATATAGCGAATTTCAAAAAGGAGAAAGAAAAAAGTCTAAAAATTTATATAAAAAATAATTTAAAATTAAGGGCCGGGTGGACTATCTATCTATCGAGCGTCATCTTTTATTTAAATTTTATCTTTTTAACCTAAAATACATAAAAATTTGGGATAAGTTTTGAGGTCACGAAAATCACTGGAGTTGGCATAAAAAAATAATGAAAAAAAAGAGGAAAAAATTTTGAAGGGCGCTAAAGAGCGATATTTATGAAAAGGGATTTTCCAGGTTTACAA